ACCAGTCAGAATGGTTGTTATTTAGAAGTCAAACAATAAGAGATGCTGGTGAGGCTGAGGAGCAAAAGGAATGCTTATACACAGTTCAGCAACTGTGGAAAGCAGTTTGGTGATTTCTCGAAGAACTGCTATTCAACCCAGCAATCCCACTACTGGGTATGTACCTAGAGAAAAATAAATCATTCTACCAAAAAGATATATGCACTCATATGTTCATCACAGCACTATACACAATAGCAAAAACATGGAATCAACTTAGATGTCCATCAGTGGTGGAATGGATAAAGGAAACACGGTAAATATACACCACAGAATACAGGTGGGCACCACCACTCCTGGCTAAACTTTTTTGTAGTTTTTGCAGAGATGAGTTCTTGCTATGTTACCCAAGCTGGTCTCAAATTCCTGGGTTGAAGCGATCTGTCCACCATGGCCTCCCAAAGGGCTAGGATTATAGGAATAAGCCACTGCCTCTGGCCAAATCATATATTCTTTATGTTGTTTATACATTTAAATAAATGCCAAAACCACAGCATATTTTTATTACACATATTTAATTTCCTTTCTAAGTAGCAAAGTTCATGAGAAGGATCTCTTTAAGAAGTCTTGGATATACAGAGATTCCAGGACATCATCAGTTACTGACTTAGGATAATAAGTATCCCAAATGGAGCGAGGCTTCCACTAAACCTTGACTTGCTTATTTCTAGAGTGTCTCTGTCACATATTCTCATATTTACTGTGATCCCTTTTATGGTTGTCCATTATTATTATAACTCAACCTCAAAATCATCATCATTAATGGTCCTTTCCTGCTTCTTACTGCTGGTTACTATTCCTAAGTTTTTATACTTAGTCCGTATTTCTTCGCTTACCCATGTGCATCACTTTGCCACTGCAAAAGTTTCAGACAATGTCTCCTTGCTCTCTAATATTGTCCCTTCTACACATCTAGATTTGCTTCTTATTTTGCTTTGCATTTTTTCAGTGACCTTCATCAGTCTTCTTGCTAACCACTTCCCTTTGCTAGATGCAGAAGCCCTGTTACCCACATTCTAAAATAGTTGTCTCATAAATCTGAATTGTACTCATTGAATTTATATTCTTCCTTGGACAGTCCATCTACTTGTAGCTTCAGATGGTGATTCCAGAAGCAAATACAGAAATATACGACCAAAGCAAGAAACATGAAGAAAGGGAAACACACAGAGACATACGTGGCAGACCCAAATGAAAATTTTACAGAAGCTGAAGGAGAAGTTAGGTACATTCCATGATTAAGAAACAAGTCAAACTCAATGACTCCAAAACGAACTTTATCTAGAATTTAGTACATAATCAGCATCAGAGGCTCCTCTGAACACAGAAAGCCCTGAAGCATGGTCCACATGGGAAAGCCTTTACTCCAAATGCAGACCTCGCTCAGCATCAAAGAAAGCACACTCTAAGCCCATCCACTGTATATATGAAGAGTACGGGAAGACCCTTAGATCAAACAATGGCCTTATTCATCAAATGGGAATCCAAAAGGAAGGAAAAATCCAAAATATGATGGGTGTGGAAAATCAGTTAAAAATTACTCTTTAGTTGACATTGGAGACTTTACACAGGTGAGAAACACTTGTTGAAAAGGCTTTACTCAGAATGCAAGAGTTTTTGATGATCTTAAAAAAACATTTGGAAGAGAAATGCTTTGGTTGGAATCAGTGTAGTAAAACCTTGATTCATCAGTCTGCCTTGATTCAGCATCAGATAGTTTATACAGCAAAGAATGCTTGTAAGTGCCATGACAGTGGGAAAGCTTCTTTATACAATGTATCCCTCTTCTGGCTTCAGAAGATCCACTAGAGGAAAAAATTATTTAAATGTATTCAGTGTTAGCTTTCAGGTAGACAGCAGGCCACACAGAGCAGCAGAGATCCACTATGGGGAGAAATCCTGCAAATAGGACTGGCATGGGCAACCCAACATCTGCACTAAGAATGCTCACTCAAAGGAGAAAGAAGATACCCAGTAAGAAAGTAAGAGTCACAACAGGAGCCTTCCTGGAAATGAGTTTCTGAAGGACAAGCTCTGTGAGCATAATGAAATTGAGACTAGTGACTCTGCAATTACTAAGTCTTGTGAAACATCAGAACACGCACTCCTCAAGGGAGAAATACCTCGAAGATACTGATTGTGGGAAGCACTTGAGCCCAGGACATACCCAACATTAGAAAACTTATGCAGACCAATACTACAAATATGAAGAATGTAGGAAGACCTTAAGTGAAAACGCTAGCTGTTTCAGACATTAAAAAAGCACACACATACTGGAGAGAGGCCCCATAAATGCGATGAATGTTAGAAAGCCTCCTGCCAGTTGTTAGCCCTTAACAAGCACCAGTTTTTCCATGCTGGAGAGGAGCGCTATTATTGCAATGAGTATGGCAAAGACTTCAGAACACAGGCCTGTTTAACCATCTCTGAGTACAAACTGGAGGAAAAGCCTTTTCGGTGTAAACTGTGTAGTAAGTTTAGCAAACTATTTTTAAATTTGAGACTATTGTAAAACAGCATAGTAAGCAATACTGATTAAACGTCAGCAAAGATTTTATGATTGCTTTTAAAGTGGGAAATCTGCCTTTACTGTAAATACCTTATTTATCACCCAGATTATCGTTATCACACAGATTATCGACCAAGAAATTCAATAAACTGGTGTCAGACATCAAAGCAAGTTGTCTATAATGTATTATTGTAAATGCCATTTACTGTGAATGTATTATAACTAGGTACTAGTAGTAGATACTTTACACATGAAATGTTTTAGAGTGGAGGCAACTGAAACTTAGTGGATTGGTCATATGTTCAAGGTCACTGTGTCATATTTCACAAATGCTGTCTTGACCCAGTTTGAAAGTGATGGCTAACAACTCTTCAATTCCTCTTTGCAGGTGGTTTGCTAAGCCCCCATCCCAATCTCTTTACTTATTGTTCCTCCATTCTCTGAAGCCACTGTGTACACACCACAACTACCTCCCTTATCAGGGTCTCATTCTCTGAGGACAGGTACTAGACAACTTGGGACAGCACCTGTGACCCAGAGGCTATGAAATTAACCAGTCCACAGGGAGCCCCTGAAACCAAGCTAACTCCTCCTGCCTGCCATATATGCATTGCCTTCTGCAGCTCCAGCTTGCCCTTACTCTGTCCCTGGGTCCGACTCTGTGTAGTTCCACATGGCAGCTTCTCTCTTTTGGAGCTGTAAGTAACAAAGTTCTGCTTTTCATCATCAGTATGTTGGGTCCCTTCATCAAACAATCTTTAAATCTTATAAAACAGTCACTCGGTTATTAACTGCCAGAAGTGAAGTTCAGTCCTACATCAAAATCTCTTAGATTCAGACCTTTCTCTTAAACCAGTGCTCTGCTTCTGTCACCCTGACGCTCTCCTCATGACATCAAAATTAGCTACTGCTGTAGCTCCCAACAGTGTTCCTTTTAGTGTTTGTGGAAGACACAGTTTACCATTTCCCCTATTTTTTTCCTTTTCTCCTTTCTTTTATACACATATTCTCAATGCTTTTATTCAATCCTAGATGAAACTCAACATGTTGTCTTCAAAGTGGGAGGAATTTTCTATAGGGCCCCTAAGAAGTCATGCAAAAAATATCAGTTTTGGCCGGGCGTGGTGGCTCAAGCCTGTAATCCCAGCACTTTGGGAGGCCGAGGCGGGTGGATCACGAGGTCAAGAGATCGAGACCATCCTGGTCAACATGGTGAAACCCCGTCTCTACTAAAAATACAAAAAATTAGCTGGGCATGGTGGTGCGTGCCTGTAATCCCAGCTACTCAGGAGGTTGAGGCAGGAGAATTGCCTGAACCCAGGAGGCGGAGGTTGCGGTGAGCCGAGATCGCGCCATTGCACTCCAGCCTGGGTAACATGAGTGAAACTCCGTCTCAAAAAAAAAAAAAAAAAAAAAAAAAATATCAGTTTTACCAAAAGATCAAAGTCTATTTTCTACACACACACACATACACACACACACACACACACACACGCACACACGCACGCACGCAAACAGCAGATATTGTAGATGAGCCATGAGATCTTAGTGATCTGTGAATTTCAAGACCCTGAGGACCTGTAACTCAGATTACCATCTAGCTCTTCCAAAGAAACCATCTGTGTTAAACAACAAAATTGCCTGGTGGATGCTTCTAGGATAAGTACATTTCACTATTTTGTTAATATGTTCATATCGTTCACCTTGGGCATTGTTCACCTTGGGCATGTGCATTTTGACAAATGCTCAGAATGTTAATTTTCCTTTTTAGAGGACAAAGTCTCATTCTGTCATCCAGGCTTCAGTGCAGTGGTGCAATCACAGCTCACTGCAAGCCTCAACTTCCTGGCCTCAAGTGATCCTACGACCTTGGCTTCCCAAAGTGCTGGGATTACATGCATGCACCACTGTCCTTTAATTTTTCTTTTGCTGTTGTCTTTCTCTCTCTCTCTCTCTTTTTAACCATGAAAATTGTCAACATGCTACTTTTTTCTAATCAAAGTAAGATAAGCTTATAATTTTTTATAGACCACTATGCCCTGAAAAGTTTATAATATTTAAAAAATCAAATAGCAAACCAGGTTTTATGATGAAAAGCAACAGATCTACTTTATCATTTGACACACTCTCCAGTACTCCTGAGGGCTACCTTTTCTATGCCTGCTTCTCATAATGGTCACCTCCATATCACTAAGCAATTTGGTTCTATTGCTTTCTTGTTGTTTTTTGTTTGCTTACTCTAAACATTGCCTATTGAATATCTGCAATATTCAATTAGAATTTAAGTCACAATCTTCAATGTATGATTATGATACTATTCTCAGCTCCTACTTTTGTGTCCCTGGGACAGAGGGCAGCTTAAATTTTTACTCACTTTTACTTTTTTAACTCACTTTTTAAAACAAGGTTTTATTCAATTTGTACCCAGTTACATGGCTCAGTTTCTGCTTACCAGCATGGACCTATTGAAATAGCTTTCAGACTTTTTCTTAATCTGTTGCACATTTCTTAAAGACAGCTGAGAGATGACCTGCAAAAAACAAACGATATCAGTAGTTCATCAATTAGACACTATTCGGTCTTTTTAAAAAACAGCTAGTTATGGACTCTCCGATTAGAGGTATAAATAGGAAGCAAAACATTCTACTGTATCCATGTGAACTCCGAGAGTTCTTCCTTTATTGATATATTTACCTGTGTTCTCACTATATGCTTTCTCTGAAGTACCTGTGTTCTCAACTATATACTTTCTGAAGCTCACAGAATTCACATCATAAAACTTTGTTTTGCTTTTGGCTTCTGATTTCAAATCTGTAAATGAAATACTTCCTGCAGTATTTTATTGGTCAAATCAATCATTAACCCACTCAGATTCACGGGAAGGTGACACAGACCCCACCATCTTGATGTGAAATGTCAAAGAATTTGTAGCCATCTTTAATTTTCCACAATACGTTTATCCACCTCGGATTTAAAGTACAAAGGAAAAATAAGCCTTTATTGGAAACTTTTCCTAAATACTTTCTCAATTGTCTCCATCCCCTTTCAATCTCACTAAATAAACCTGACACAATTATGAGCAATCAAGTTTATACATGCTTTCATGTTCACAAAGTAACAGAGTGAGCTTCTGATATTACAGTTTTACATTTTCTCTTATTCTTTGAGTTCTAGATATCAACATCTGCTTTTTTTCCCTTTTGATTTTAAGAGCAGTTAGAAGGCTTGCCAATATATCACAAGAAACTTTCTCCCTTTTAAATGTTAGAGTTATTTGGTTAGTAAAATGGCCAAAAAGTGTTAGTAATAACATTAGACAAAAATTGTTTAAAATAAAGGTATTCTGGAGATCCATTTTTGTCTGCTCTTTGTCTCTATATCCCTGTGTTTCTCCAGAGTCAAAAGATGGAGAATGGTTTTACTCAGAGTTCTCTCTGTCTTAAGATCTCTTTGTGCTTAGATGCTCTTTTCTTGTGGCTACACTGTATCTATGACAAAGTTGACTTTTTACCTATGTCCCTGGGAACTATGCCAAGTCAATCGTCCTTGGTGCAAGCTGACTTTTTAAGTGAGACTTTCATATCAGCTTCTTGCAGTAAGTCATGCCAAGTGGAACTTGGAAAACCCTGAGTTTTCTTTTCTAGATGCCTAGAAAAGAACCCCAAAGTGAGCTTGAGGTTCACTTCCAGGATGAATTCAAGTTGTTGTCCAATAATTTCTCTGTGTGTGTTGTTTTCTGAGATGTTGTATGGCTTCACATAAGATTTGAGACCTGGCAAGGTATGAGGAGGGCTCTCTCTCTCCCTTCTCCCCAGATGCCCTGAAAGAAGAGTCTATGAAAAGGGCACTCCAGAAATCTGTCCTAGGCTGTCTTTTAGCACCACACACTTCGTGAGATATCTTAATCATTTTAACAATTACTGAAAGGTAGAAGCTCCAAAATATGGATCTCAAGCTAACTCTTTTCTCATGACTCCTAGACCCACAAATCCCTAAACCAATCCATTAACAAAAAGCAACATCTACAGTGTGATGCTTTCCAGGATTTCAAGCTTAACATGGCCAAGCTGAGCTCATACATTTCTTCTCAAAATGCTACCTGTCATTTAGTGTCCCCGGTCTTGGTGGAGGGACCACCATCCTCTGATGATGCCAGGCTTTTTTTTGGTTCTCTTAACCCCCACATAATCAATGACAAAGCCTTGATCCATTTATCCTCCTGAGTATTTCTCAATTTCATTCCCTCATATTTAGCATTTTAAAAGTCAGGTCTCCCCCGATCCCATTTAATCTTGTGTGTATGTCACTTTATATTTTTGTCAAAGTAACTCTGAGATGGATTTCTAGAAGTGGTATTGCAGGAACAAAGGGTAAACTTACATATATAATTTTGCTGTATAGTATTATTTTTCCCACCTATGGGTCGTACCATTTTGCATTCCCACTGGAATATGTTAAGAGTTTCCCTTTCCTCATGAGTAGAGTGTACTGTCAAACTCTTGGACCACTGCCAATCTAATGACTAATGGTACCTCACTCAGCATAGTTTTCAATTCATATGTTCATATTTTGAGTGAAGTTGAACATTTTTATAGATGTTCAAGGGGTGCTAGCATTTTTATTCTGTCAACTATCTTTTGGCCATCTTCTCTACATGTTGCAAACCTTTTTCTTGTGGTATTTTTTTTTTGACAAGCAATACATTTTAATTTCATGTAGTCAGATTTGTTACTTGTATGGCTTTTGGATTCTGAGTCATATGGTTAGATAACGTTTCCCCAGTCCCATTGTTAGAATTATTATTCATGTTTTCTAATACATGTATAGGTGGATTTTTTACATTTAGATCTCAGATCCATTTAGAATTTATCTTGATTGTGATGTGTGGTGGGAAATACAAATCCAGTTTAGCTTTGCCAAATGGTTGTCATCCCCGTACAACTTCTAAGTGATTCATTTCCCCATTTATATGTGATGTCACCTTCATCATTTACTGAATATCCTTATATACCTGCATCTATTTCTGGTATATTCGTTCTCCGTTAATAAACTAAAATAATACGTGTATGTTCCAGTATCTGAAATGACTGTCCCTCACCATTGTTCTTTTTCATGGGTTTCCTGTCTATTCTTACGTCCCTACTTGAACTTTATAATCAAGTTATCTAATTCCAGAACAATATTGGTTGATATTTTTGTTGGAATAGTATAGTTGCATACATATTTAGGGAGGACTGACCTCTTTGGGTCTTTCCAAGAACAGCATATTGCTTTCTATTTGTTTAATGTACACTTGGCCATTTAGGAGTGTTTTAACGATTCCCCCAGAGAAGTTTTGCTCATTTCTTGTTTATTCCTATTTTCACTTTTTTTCTTGCTATTGTAAATACGGTATTCTCTTCCATTATACCTCGTAACTCGTTATCATTGACTATTCACATATATGAAGGGCGTTGATTTTAGTGTGTTAATTTTATATCTTGCTAATTTACTAAATTCTTTTTATATAGTTTTTCCATTGAACTGGGCTTTCTGATGTACAATCATATCATAAGCGCAAAAAAAAGAACATCAAGAGAATCGTGGATGACGAAATAGCCAGCAGAAACCAGCAGGCTGGCCCTTGAGAAGTTTGTGTGGAAGGACTCCACTAAGCGTGGAGTCGGAAATGACCTCCGAACCCAAAGTGAATGGAGACGCAAGGGATTTCCCAGTCTTCAGATCAGATCTACAAGCCTCCACCACCCGTCTGGTCGGGGAAAGTGTGGCCAATGGCTGGGTAAAGCAAAGGAGGGAGATAAACGCGTACCTGTTACCCGCGGGCCTGAAAGCCCTCAGTTTCAGTTTCACTCTCGAGTAGGCGCCCGGAAACACTACTGCGTCGAAAGCCCCTCTCGCCCCCTTCCGGGAGCGGCTGCGGAAATGCGCCCCCCGCGGCCGCTTCCGGCCTTTGTGGATCACTTTTGATGGGTTCCGGTTCCGGAAAGGGTTTGAGACCCCGCCCTTCGCTCGCTAGGAGGGAGTCCGCCGGCGCCGGCGGCCGCAGGTGAGCGGTGTTGTCCTTTGTGCGCGGCGGGCAGGTGGGCGGGAGATTGCTGTATTCCAGCCACTGGGCCCCTCAGGCTCTGGCTGGTGTAGAGGGCACCCCAGTCCTCCCAATCCCAGGCGGATCCGCGGGAAGCTCTCCCTCCCCAAAGTGCATTGGGACCCTTTGGGGTGAGGGGTCGGCTCCCAGTGTCTGCGGCAATTCCAGGCTGTAAGGCTCATACCTTCCAGGTTTGCCTCGGGCTGTGCATCCTTGGGTTCAGCGCTAGCCGACATTTCTGGAAAGTGGCGGGTCACCGACGCTGGCCGGAGTCCTAGGGACCCTTTCCCGGGCCTGCCTCACTTCAGATTATAATCACCGACCGTGAGGGTGGGGGAAAGCCTTAAAGACTAACCTCGTCATCCTTCTCACTTTATAAGTGAAGCATGAGCAGAAAGACGAAGTCCCTGAGGAAATACATTTATATTACTTTGTTGCTTTTATGATTTCATGTCTGATTTCACCAGACATCTGGACATTTAAAAGATAAAAGTAACTAATCAAGGATGTCCCAAGCTTTCATCATTATTATTCACTTATTCTAAATGTTAGTTTTATTCTATTTGTCTTTCATTTAGGACCAAATGAGAACAAGTTTACTATCAAGTCTTACTCTTCCTTCTTAAAGTCCTGAAACAACTTGGCACCTTTCCTCAGTCTTTGTCTTTAAATTGGTCTAATCTTAAGTCTTTTCTATCGGAGTATTTTTCTGAGTATTGTACATTAATCTGGAGGCCGGCTTTCCAAGTTCTCCAAACTTGCAGTTTTCCTTTATGGCGTAGCTTGTATTAATAATGATGTCTTACTCCTCAGGACTGTCCAGAAAGAAATTTTCCAGGGAGATCTTACTTGAAACACCGATAGTTCTTGCACAGCTAAAATGACATCCACTTGGGCTATCCAGGCCCACATGGACCAGGATGAACCTTTGAAAGTAAAGATAGAGGAGGAGGAGAAGTATATCACCAGACAAAATTGGAACCTGCGTAAAAACAACACGCATAGCAGAGAGGTCTTCCGTCAGTACTTCAGACAGTTCTGCTACCAGGAGACATCTGGTCCCCGTGAGGCTTTGAGCCGACTCCGAGAGCTTTGCCATCAGTGGCTGAGGCCAGAGACCCACACCAAAGAACAGATCCTGGAGCTACTGGTGCTGGAGCAGTTCCTGACCATCCTACCTGAGGAGCTCCAGGCCTGGGTGCAGGAGCAGCATCCAGAGAGTGGGGAGGAGGTGGTGACTGTGCTGGAGGATTTAGAGAGAGAGCTGGATGACCCAGGAGAGAGGGTGAGAAAGAAAAGATGTGACTTCTCTTTGAGAAAAGATAAATTGTGGATTTCTGTGCCAGAGTGAAGAGCCCTTTTTTTCCACAAAGCATGTTCTTGACAGTTTGATGCACAAGAAAGGGGCACGAGTTTCATGGAAAATTGGCTGATGTGGTCCTAACTTATTTGTAACTTCTCTGTGGAAGGATTTTATATTTCTTTACTAAATTACAAAATTCTGTTTGATAAACATACTGCTCATCTTAGAAAACTTTTAAGACCAGGTATCAGATGAAAGTAGCAGGATGGGAAGCGGCATCTTGAAAGGGCATCACTCTACTGCACAATACAAGTAATTAAGAATTAAGGTTTTGCAGATATATCCATTGCTCTGACTCCATTACAAGATGTTAAAATGGAGAAATTAAGTATTTCAAGTGAATGAGATGTGGAAGTACAATGGAAAGTTAGTGAGGAAAGCAGGGTGGGGATCCATGCTTCTTTGAGTAGTAGAAAGCCCAGTTAGATTGCAAAGGTGAATTCTGAGTAGAAGAGTTGAGATAGTGTCCAGGACCTTGAATCTCAACCTTGGAACTGAGATTTTATTCTGTAGGACAGACCTCCCCAACCTTTTCTCCTTGAGTCGAAATGAGCTTTACCAATTCTAAGATGTAAAAGAGAATCAAATTATGCAGAACTTTTTTGTTTTCTTTTTAACACTAAAATAAGACAGTGTTTCTCAACCAGTGCCAATTTTGTGCTTCAGGGGGCATTTGGCAATGTCTTGGGACATTTTTGGTTGTTACAACTCAGGGAGGTGCTGCTAGCATCTAGTGGGTAGAGAGGGCAAGGCTGGTGCTAAACATCTTACAACACAGACAAAGAATTATCTGAACCAACATGTCAGTAGAGGCAACACTAGGAAACCCTGTTACAGAGTTTGAAACTTAGTGAAATAATAAAACAGAAGTATAATCTAGCACTGTGATACAAAATACAATAAAGAGGGCAGGAACATGGCAAAAAGATCTTAGTTTGAAATGGGATCATGAGGCCGGGCGTGGTGGCTCATGCCTATAATCCTCACACTTTGGGAGGCCAAGGCGAGTGGATTACTTGAAGTCAGAAGTTGAAGACCACCCTAAAAATACAAACATCAGCCAGGCGTTGTGGCATGTGCCTGTAATCCCAGCTACTTAGGAGGCTGAGGCAGGAGAATCACTTGAACCCAGGAGGCAGAGGTTGCAGTGAGCCAAGATTGTGCCACTCCAGCCTGGGCAACAACGCAAGACTCTGTCTCAAAAAAAAAAAAAAAAAAGAAAGAAATAGGATCATGAAAGTGTGATAACCAAGGATGAGGCATGTCTTAGGTAAGAATTGTTTGGAAGTGATGACAGATTAGATCTATTAAGTAAAGAAGGAAGAACCAATGGAGAAATCTTTACAGAACAATCTATTCTAAGCTAAACACTAGGGATTTGAAGCTTGAAAGACTAGTATAGTGGCTGTTGGGGGGGATAGGGGAAAAACAGTTGGGTGGGGGGAGGGATAACATGGGGAGAAATGCCAGGTATAGGTGATGGGGGGATGGAGGCAACAAAACCACCTTGCCATGTATGTATCTGTGCAACAATCCTGCATCACCAGCACATGTATCCCAGGATCTAAAGTACAACAATAATAATAAATAAAATTTGAAAAACTGGTATAATGGAGACACTCCTAACAAAGTTAAAGACTGTAGGAAATTATTAAGTACATATTTATTGAATATCTGGTTGGACTAGGTCCTGTTTTGGGCACCATGAATGCAACAGTGAACAAAACATAGGAGGTTGCAGCTGTCATGTAGATTCTACTCTACTGGGAAGAGACAGATAGTAAATTAAAAATCAACAAACCAGCCTGGACAATATAGTGAGACCCCTATCTCTATAAAAAATACAAAAATTAGCCAAGCACTGTGGCAGGCGTGTATAGTCTTAGCTACTTGGGAGGCTAAGGTGGGAGGATTGCTTGAGCCCAGGAGATAGAGGCTGCAGTGAACTGTGATCATGCCACTGCACTCCAGCCTGGGTGATACAGTGAGACCCTATCTCCAAAAAAAAAAGACCATACAAGATATAAGTGACAGTCAATTCTATTCAAACAACAACGACAAAAGCAGAGAAAAGGAATGGTGAAAGAAATGGGGATTATGCTGTTTTTTGTAGTCTTGTCAGAGAAGGCTTTTCAGATAGGTGACATTTACAGGAGAAATCTGAATGAAAAGAGCAAGCTACACAGCTGTCAAAGATTAACCGTTCAGGCAGAGGGTCAGTTTTTTTTTTTTTTTTTTTTTATTGAGATGAAGTCTTGCTCTGTCACCAGGCTGGAGTGCAGTGGCACAATCTCAGCTCACTGCAGCCGGGTTCAGATGATTCTCCTGCCTCACCCTGCCCAGTAGGTGGTACTACAGGTGCACGCCACCATGCCCAGCTAATTTTTCTGAGACGAGGTTTCACACTGTTGGTGAATAGAGACGGGGTTTCACCATATTGGCCAGGATGGTAAGATTTCTTGACCTCGTGATCCATCTGCCTCAGCCTCCCAAAGTGTTGTGATTATCGGTGTGAGCCACCACGCCCGGCTAAGGCAGAGAATTTTAAAGTGAAAATGTACTTGTCACGGTAGAGATAAATTTGTCAAGGACATGAAATAAAATAGTTATAAGATTATATTATGTCAGAACTTATAGGCCATTGTAAGAATTTCGATTCTGAGATGGAAAGTCATTGGAGAGTTTTTGAATAGAAGAAAGATACAATCTGACTTGAGTTTTTAAATGATCACTCTGGCTACTATGAGAAAGTTCCACAGTGGGGCTGGGGTAGGCACAGGTGTCAAAGGTAGACACACGAAACCATTTCAGGAGCAATAATCATAAGAACATTCCGGGCAAGAGATATTGGTGACTTGGTCTAGAATAGTAGCAGTGGAACTGGTAAAATGTGATTGGATTCTGGATATATTTTGAAGGAAGAGCTTGAGAGGATTAGTTTTTATGTAAAATGTGGGATATGAGAGAAAGTAAATAAAGGATTATGCCCACGTTTTTGGTCTGAACATCAGATAGAGTGGATTTGTCATTCACGGAGATGGTAAGGACTGGGAGAGAAGTGGGTTTGGGGTAGAGGGACAGGAATCAAGTTAGGGTTTGGGCCAGGCGCGGTGGCTGATACATGTAATTCCAGCGCTTTGGGAGACCAACGCAGATGGATCACCTGAGGTCAGGAGTTCAAGACCAGCCTGGCCAACATGGTGAAAGCCTGTCTCTACTAAAAATACAAATATTAGCTGGGTGTGGTGCCAGGTGCCTATAATCCCAGCTACTCAGGAGGCTGAGGCAGGAGAATCCATTGAACCTGGGAGGCGGAGGTTGCTGTGAGCCAAGATCTCACCACTGCACTCCAGCCTGGGCAACAGAGTGAGACTCTGCCTCAGAAAAAAAGTTAGGGTTTGGACATGTGAATTTTGAGATTCCTATTAGAATTCAAGCAGAAAAGTTGAGCAAACAACTGGATATAATGAACTGGAATTCAGTGGAAGGGTCTGTGCTAGAAATACAGCATTGGAACTTTTCAGAATATACATAGTATTTAAATCCATGAGATAGGATGAGGTCATGAAAGAAGTAAGGAGCAGCAGAAACAGAGTAGCTAGGGAGGTACAAAGAGAACCAGAAGAATAAATGGGATTCTTAGGTGCTGGCAAAAGTAAGTTGGTTTTAAATGTCTTGAATTTGTATTGCCAATCAGCTCATTCTCTGAAAGCACTGCAGGGGCATCTAATGGAGTTTACAACTTGATTTCTGAGGCCTGACCAGAGATCCAGGAATAGAAGGCACAGCTCACTGTACTGGCATTTCCCCCCCGCTTTCTTTTTTCAAAATGTGAGATATCAAAACATCATTTTCTGTACATCTGAGATAGCATTCTGCTGATTCTGGCTTTTATTCTGAAAACTGAGACTACAAAATGAAACTATCAGGGAAATAGAGGCAGTGTATATGGTGATTTTTTATTTATAAAGTTTAACCTTTGAAGAGAATGAGGAAGTAATTTGAGAGCCTGTTGTATGACAAGCAAGGTGCTTTATACAAATGACGTTTACAGTCTCAGAGACAGTAAGTAACTAGCCCGAGGTCACAGAGCCACTAAACTAAGAGACAGAGTAAGTAACTAGCCTAAGGTCACAGAGCCACTAAACTAAGAGAGAGAGTAAGTAATCCATGTGATTCCAAATCCCTGCTTTTTACAAGACCATGCTGGGGAAACCTGTTATTTTTAAATGCAAGAGGAAATAGGCCCATGGAAAAATGGGAGCTACCCAGTGGCTGAAATTGCTGAATAAATGAGTTAGTTCACTGAGGGAGCAAGGGTGAAAGGGAAGCCGAAAGTGATGGGATTGAAGGCAAAGTGGAGATGTAAGTAAGCCTTGAAAAAGAGAAGACATTGTCCTCTAAAACAGAAGAAATGGAGAAGAGTATGCGGGTGGAGATAGGTAAAATGAAGAGCAGATGGTTTTTGAGATGATTGTGATCTTGGATACTTAGAATATAAGATAATCTTCCCAGAGAGAAGTGAAACGGGTACCTCAGAAGGGCAGAGACTTGGGAACAGCTTCTGGAATGAATATGGAAGAGAGTTCGCTCGTTTCCTTCTTTTCCCTGTCTTTCTTCTCCCACCCTCTTTCTTTTCTTTCTCCTTCTCATTTGTTCCCTTGTACTTTTTTTTTTTTTTTTTTTGAGATAGAGTCTGTCACCCAGGCTGGAGTGCAGTGCTGTAATCATAGTTCACTATAATGTTGAACTCCTGGACTCAAGCAATCCTCCTGCCTAGTCCTGAGTTGTTAGGACTATAGGTGTGTACCACCATGCTCAGATAATTTTTCATTTTGTGGGGGGAGATGCCTAGCCTGGTCTCAAACTCCTGGCCTCAAGTAATCCTCCCACCATGGTGTCCCACAGCTGCCTTTCTTTTTTATCATTGGTCTACATTATTTGCCATTACATATCCCATTTCCTTTTCCTTTTTCTCTCTTAATGTTTTATTTTTCCCTAAGTTCTATCTTTCCTTTCTGCCTCATTTCACCTTCTTTTTCTTCTCTCCTTTGTTTTGTCTTACTCACTTTCCTTTCTCCACTTCTTTGAGCACAAGACAAAGAAATAAAAGTGACATAACCAACATACTTTAGTGGTAAAAACAGGAGAAATTACTTCTGAGTGGAGAAAAGAAGGTTCCCCAGAGGAGGTGACATTTATATTGGCCTTGAAGAATGGGTAGGGTTATGGCAGGCTATGCTGAGAAAAAAGGTCATTTCAGGTTTCAGCCACTACCACAAATAGTATACTTTTTGTTTTCTGTTGTTAGAGTGAGTCTGTCAGCTATATCTTGTTTTCCTCAGGTCTTACCTCACACTGAGGAACAGAAAATGTTCTTGCAAGAGATGGTATCTCTAAGAAAAGAAGGAGAACCCAGTATGTCCCTCCAGTCCATGAAAGCCCAGCTAAAGTATGAATCTCCAGAACTTGAATTCCAACAGAAGCAAGGTAAAGAAGAAAGACCCATCTTGGGAGGAAGGGGAAGATAGGTAGCACAAGACATTGGGGCTTTTTTGTACTTGCTACTGTTTCTTTTTTTTTTTTTTTTTTTTTTTTGAGACGGAGTTTCACTCATGTTACCCAGGCTGGAGTGCAATGGCGCGATCTCGGCTCACCGCAACCTCCGCCTCCTGGGTTCAGGCAATTCTCCTGCCTCAGCCTCCTGAGTAGCTGGGACTACAGGCACGCGCCACCATGCCCAGCTAATTTTTTGTAGTTTTAGTAGAGACGGGGTTTCACCATGTTGACCAGGATGGTCTTGATCTCTTGACCTTGTGATCCACCTGCCTCGGCCTCCCAAAGTGCTGGGATTACAGGCTTGAGCCACCGCGCCCGGCCGTACTTGCTACTGTTTCTGATCATTAAAGTCAAAAAGGCTCTCTTGGAATCTAATGGCTCATACATAGACTCCCAGAGAGCCTCGTTTGTCACTCTTCAACTCTTTCTTTTTTTTTTATATTCATATCCTTCTGAATTCTGACTTTACCACTTAATTTAGTCCTTCTGATATTTATCTGTCTTTATACTGACCTCATGCTATTTTTAGCCTTTGTCCCTTCTGATATTTATCTGTCTTTATACTGACCTCCTTGCTATTTTTAGCCTTTGTCCTATTGTCCTATCAGACAACACCTCTATTTTCCACTTGCACTATATCCTTTCTCCTTCATTAAATAAGCCTTTGCTCCACTACATTCGCAACTGTCAGATGAGTCACACACAAAAAAATTGTATACTTACAAAGAAAAGGAATAATAAAATAAATATTGCAAAATATTAAAAGTTGGTGAATGTGTGAAAGACCCGCTGTCTTATTTCTATTTTCTCAATTTTTTTTCATTTTCTTTTAATTTTTTAAATAGATAAAAATGTACATGGCTCAAAAACAAAACATTTTTAAGTTATTTAATGAAAAATTTCTATTCTACCCAATTTTCCTAGCCACCTAGCCTCCTGCCCCTACTCTGAAATAGGTTGTCACTGTTACTAATTTTTTGTGTGTTCCTCCAGATATTTTTTTTGATGCATATGTTTTCCATATTGAAAAAATATATTTTCCTCTATCACTAAGACGGTAGACTCTTGGATTTTTTATTTTTTAGCAACTGCTTAATATTAAAATGTATAGATACATTTTAAAGATATAAAGGTAACATTTATGATCCCTTCTTAGTTTTAGATATTGAGACTGGAAATGAGTTTGGGAATTTAAAGCAAGAAGTTTCTGAAGAAATGGAACCACATGAGAATACATCCAGTAAACTTGAAAATGCTATGTCCCAGTCTGTTAGGTGTAGAGAAACTTATGAACCTGAAGAAATAGCAGAAGAGCCCTCTGCACACTCCAGAGAAGATAAACAACCTACCTGTGATGAAAGTGGAGTAAGCCTGACTGAGAACTCGGACCATACTGAACATCAGAGAATCTGTCCAGGAGAAAAATCTTATGGATGTGATGACTGTGGAAAAGCTTTCAGTCAGCACTCACACCTCATAGAACATCAGAGGATCCATTCTGGAGACAGACCCTACAAATGCGAAGAATGTGGAAAAGCTTTCCGTGGGAGAACTGTGCTTATTCGACACAAAATAATACACACTGGAGAGAAACCATATAAGTGTAATGAGTGTGGCAAAGTCTTTGGCCGATGGTCAGCTCTTAACCAACATCAGAGACTTCACACAGGAGAAAAACACTATCACTGCAATGAATGTGGCAAAGCCTTTAGTCAGAAAGCAGGCCTCTTTCACCATATCAAGATCCACACAAGAGACAAACCTTATCAGTGTACTCAGTGTAATAAAAGTTTTAGTCGGCGTTCCATACTTATTCAGCATCAAGGAGTTCATACTGGCGCGAAGCCCTATGAGTGCAACGAGTGTGGAAAAGCCTTTGTTTATAACTCATCTCTTGTTTCCCATCAGGAAATCCACCACAAAGAAAAATGCTATCAGTGTAAGGAATGTGGGAAATCTTTCAGTCAGAGTGGCCTTATTCAGCATCAGAGAATTCACACTGGGGAAAAACCCTACAAATGTGAGGTATGTGAAAAAGCCTTTATTCAAAGGACAAGTCTTACAGAACATCAGCGAATTCACACTGGAGAAAGACCCTATAAATGTGATAAGTGTGGGAAGGCGTTTACTCAAAGATCGGTCCTCACGGAACATCAGAGAATCCACACTGGAGAAAGGCCCTACAAGTGTGATGATTGTGGGAACGCCTTCCGAGGAATCACCAGCCTCATTCAGCATCAGAGAATCCACACTGGAGAGAAGCCCTACCAATGCGATGAGTGTGGGAAAGCCTTCAGACAGAGGTCAGATCTTAGTAAACACCAGAGAATCCATAATAGAGGTGGTCCTTATATATGTAAAGAGTGTGGGAAATCATTCAGGCAGAACTCAGCTCTTACTCAACATCAGACTATCCACAAAGGAGAAAAATCTGTTTCTGTGTGATGACTACAGGGAAGTAATCTCACAGAGTTCAGGCCGGTGAGAAACACTATTTAGCTTTATAATTATTTGGGGCAAAACTTCAGCCACCATTGCTATAAGGAAACCTCAGATATTTATAAGAATTCACTATGTGCTGCCCATTGTATTAGGTGCTGTGGAGAGCAAGAAGATAACCCCAAGCTCTTAGAGAGTTTATAGTTTGGAATAGGTAAGATCCACACATTTAGTTACATAAGACTACAGGAGACTAGAATTGATGCTCAAATGTCCAATGAAAGTGGCACTGTGTAGACTGTAAGTGTTGTAAATTCTAAAGGACAGGTTACTTTTTCTTAGAGTGGTCAGGAAAGATTTTATTGAAAATAAAGATTTGATGGGGAGACTTAACAGCGAAAAGGGAGAAAACAGGTAAAACAAATGTAAGCCAAAGGAAGAGTGCATGTGATTTGGAAGCATCAGGGAAAAGAGTAGCCAACCTGAAGTAAAAGGTTCGTGCAGATTGGGCAGTCAATGGCATTAAGCTGGGAACAGCCTGGGCACGGACTATTAAGAGGGCCAGAATGTGAATAATTTCATCTCATACTTTATAGCACTTTGACATTTACAGAGCACTTTTCTCATTTAATTCCTAAAATACCTCAGTAAATCAAAAGCATTCTCCATTTAAAAAATGAGAATACTCTTGCCTGTGGAGATGGTGACACAGCTATAATCCCACAAAAAGAAAAAGAGGAGTAACCTAAGTGCAGGTCTTGACTTCTAGCCCTGGCCATTACACTAGTGATCCTCCAAATTTGATGAACATCAAAATCACCTGTGGAGCTTGTTTAACAGACCGGAATCCCACTATTCTGCTTCATTAGGCCTAGGATGAGAGTCAAGAATCTTCCATTTTTATAGCTTCCATTTTAAAGTATACTTAATATACTTTAAAAATTTAAGAGACGTTGAGTTGAATGACAGCTCACTTCATGGTTGTCTGTGAAGTGGGGAAACTTGAACACAGTCCTGTAAATTAAAGGCCATTGCAAATTTTTAGCACAAGGAAATCCTTACACGGAACATGTACCAACTGCTCTTTTGAGTGAACAGAGAATTAGACCACCGTCGTGCCAAAAAACTAGGGTTAGGGTTTAAGGTGGTCTTTCCATCCCTTCAAATTTAAGTATTCAGAGAAAGAGAGACAGGTCTACATTCCAAGGGTCTTCTGATTGCAAGGCCTTGTGTTATTTATTTAGGGGATGGCTTGGTGCTCTTCTCTGTTTTACTTTTTACCTCCTTTTGTTTCCCAGATCTCATATTGCCATTATGTTCTGAATTCCCTAATAATTGCTCTTGAGGACTGATTTACTTTGAGTGCATAAAAGGACGCCAAATTAGAGATACTATCCCTTGGGCTTCTGAAAAATGAACCAATTGAAAACTGGTTGACTCTAACCTTGTATTGTTGAGTAAAAATTCTGCTTTGGATGAGAACCTGTCATGATTCTTTTAGTGGACAACAGGCAAGCCACATAGAAGTACACATGGCTCCTGATCTGTATTTTTTTTTTTTTTTTTTTGAGACAGAGTTCCACTCTTGTTGCCCAGGCTGGAGTGCAATGGCGTGATCTCAGTTCACCGCAACGTCTGCCTCCCGGGTTCAAGCAATTCTCCTGCCTCAGCCTCCCGAGTAGCAGGGATTACACGCATGTGCCACCATACCTGGCTAATTTTGTATTTTTAGTAGAGACGGGGTTTCACCATGTTGACCAGGATGGTCTCGATCTGCTGACCTCGTGATCCACCCACCTCGGCCTCCCGAAGTGCTGGGATTACAGGCTTGAGCCACCACGCCCGGTCTAGAAGTGATTTTATGTTAGGAGATACTTCTTCGACTTAAGAATGCACAAACATATTTTTCTTTGCTTAGATTTACCAGTTTTACAGTTCAAATGGTGTCCCTTCTAATTCCACAAGGCCAGAATTTGTGCAAGTACTTGTTCAACCTAGACATAAGAATTCAATAGCCTTTAATTGAATCTCTTCCCAACTTTTATCCTTTAAACCGAAAAGTTCTTATACCACAGCCACTCTAGCAGCTCATTTTATTGGAATTTCCGTGGATCCTCTCCCTCTCAAATGTTCTGCGTGTGTTTGGTAAGGAGTCCTCACACGTTTTTTTTTTTTAACATGTATAGTGTGTGTGTGTATATATATATATACACACACTATATACATATTATATATATAGTATATATATATTCATATGTAAAAAGTATATATGAATATTTTTATGTGTTGTAATTTTTATTTAATATATATATGGTCTGCGGTATATAATTTGATGTTGACAAAGCCAACCATGATAAGTGTTTTAAACTTTTCAGTTGACTAGCCCCCAACTCACATTGTAAGACCATCATTTAGAGCCAGCAGTTTTCCCTTGATTACATGGACAGTTGATTCTCTTCACACATGTTAAAAACACCATTTAGGTATCTGAAACCCATCAGTCAAGGCTCTGAGAGCTTTCACCCATCAAGTGCAAGTTGATCTGTAGGGTATATGTCTGTTTGCTCCTGCCAGTCATCTTCTTAAACCCAGTTGGCCTGCTCCTGGAAGTCCCAAGAAGGTCTCCAGAGTGGAAGTTATTTGTAATCTCTGATTTATGGTTACATCATCATTACTCCTCTTCAAGCTTGGTGTGCATATCTTAGTGTTTTGATCTAGTGCCTTAGTTCTGCCTACTTCAGTAATGAATTTAGGAGTAGATCTCTCCTCATTTCATCCCTGATAATGATTGAGACAGTTTAGGGACTTGACAGCTTCCTGTGGCCAAATTCCCTACTTATTCCTGAGATAGGGTTTAAGAACCCGGATCCTAGAGACAGATTGCCATGATTCGAATCTCAGCTCACTAGCTAATGACTTTGGGCAAGCGATTTAATCTCTCTTACGTTAAATGTAAAATGGCAATGATAATAGTACCTATCCAACTGGGCAGTTACGTATATTACATGAGTTTACAAAGTGCTTAGAATACTGCTTGGCACATTAGTGCTTTACAGCTGCTCTTGTTCTGATTGTTGCTTTGGGCTCTCTCAAATGCTTTGGCTCTAGATGCCAGTGCCCCAGGTCAAAATTTAACCATGCTTCAAGTTTCCCAGCACTGCTGCACAGTCCTCCTGGCCCTGGAATAAAAGCTCCCACCCAGGTGTACTTTGGCTTTCCTTCCTGGGGAACTGATCAACAGTGGCCGGCAGGGGACACTTACCGCCCAAGTTGGAAAGGAGAGATTTCTTCCCTTTTGTCTCCGCCCCCGTTAGTTATCAGAGGTAACTAGCAGCCCATGATATCCGCAGTTTTACTTCGGAGCTGCTCTTCCGACGTTCCGCAGCTGGAAGGCCGGCCTCGCGCGGGTCTGACGCGCCCCGGCCTGGGAGCCTGGGTCCCTGGGGTTACCTGACTGCTCAGCTGGAACGCGGTGCTCAGGGGGCGGGGTATGGCCGGGCAACCACAGAGAGGGGAAAGCCTCCAGAATCCTAGAGAAGCCGAATGCCGAGACTGCCGTTGGGGCGGCGGGACCTGAAAGTACCGACATTTCCGGCCTTTGTGATGAACCTTTGGAGGCGGTTGGCCTCAGGTTCGTGCCCTCCAGCCCTTCGTTGTCTCTGGTGAGGTCGGGCTTAATGTAGGTTGAGAGCTGCAGGGCAAGTTAAAGATGACTTTCAAGTTTTGAGGTATCAGGAAAACTGGCTGTTGAGAAAAAGGGAGTCTGGGTTCCCAGTTTTGGTAAAAGGAAAGTTGGATTCATTTGGGGAAATTACATAATTCATGATTTCCCCAAGATCGACGCTGAGTACAAGAAAAGAGAATGCACCTAGCTGTTATGTGACTTTGAGCAAATTACTTAATCTCTCTGTGCCTCAGTTTCATTCCTCAGTCAGTGAGATTATAGCTATTTAAATGGCTGCATGCATAGTGAATTTTAAATAAATATTAGCTATTGTTTTTTCATTTCTGATGTTCTTATCTCTGCCGTTTATATGGGATATTTTGAAGTAGGGGAGCCAAGGGAAGACGTTCATGATCTTTAAGTTTTATTAATATAAACTTTCAGAGAGTCCAAGGCTAGCAGATGCGGCTAATAATTTGCACTCTTGCTTTCTTAATTTAGCTTACTGACACAGAGTTCCATTTTCTTTCAGTGCCATGTTCTTGGCTACAGAGATAAACAATTTAGCTTCTGTTAACATTGTTATTTTATGCCTCAGGAAGAAGACCACCTACAAGGAAATACTTCTGAAAAATCACTGTTAACCCCAAGCTGGAGTGAATCTTCTCCTGAGCTCTCTCATTCCAGAATGGCAATCGTGCTACATGTAGAAAAGATCTCTAATAGTGACTGATGGTAAAGGAAGAAGGCTGTGCCTGGGATAAAGAATCAGGCTGGCAAAGAAATCACAGATCTTTCCTCAAACTTTACATTGTTATTATGTGGATATAGCTGCCTGGACTTCACAGAGCTGTCAGAAAACTTAGGAAGCTTTGCCAGTAGTTCCTGAGGCCAGAAATACATGTCAAGAAGTAGGTGCTGGTGTCCTGGCCCCTATTTGTGAAGCTGCAGATATAAGTAGGATAATATCATAATCCAGAATGTGGAGAGGAGGCAATCCATGATGCTGGAAAAGTTGAAGAGACAGCTTGAATGAAGGACAAACCACAGGTGGGAAACGTTGGGAGGATCACTTACGGCTTGACTAGAAAAGGTTTTGGGAATAGGATAGAAAGCAGCAAACCTCAACCTTAGGATCCACCAGATGTCTCTGGAGCATAACCCAACGTTTCCCTCTTGGGTTTTAATTCTCCTGCTATTTATGTGCGTCTCTGGGACCTTCTCTTTCTATATTGGGGTTTTTGTTTGTTGGGTGTTTTAACTTAGGGTTTAGCTTCAAATTCCATTTCCCAAGACCAATTTTATCCCATTGCCTTTAGGTCTCAGGCTAAAGGATAGAACAAGATACGCTTATGACAAAGATAGTACCTTGGAATCAAAGGTTTCAGATCAAACCTAAGATTCTTAGTATACCTCTCATTGCCTTTTGATGTGAAAGGTGAGGAGAGAACATCTCTGGAGAGAAAGAAGAGGAAAGTCTCACAAGGGAATCTTTTAGAACTTTTAGTAGCATCCTCTCCCCAAAAACCTTGCCTCTACCCATCTCCTCATTATCTACCTGATTCTTGAAGTCGAAAATCGCAGCCATATTTGTAGGGGATTGGGGTTTTGGTTTTTTGACCTGTTTAACTCCTTTAGCTTCAAAATGTTGCTTTCTTAGGTTTTAGACATGAATATTACCTAGAAAAGTTACTTTCCCACTGTAAATTTTCCAGTTTATTGATTGCCCCACATCAGATTAGTATATATTTTGAAACTGGTTTAGCTATTGTTTCAAGTTAATTTTGATCATATCTAGTTGTTTACTGATCCAATCAACAAATATTTATTGAACATTTTATAGGTCTATAGTAGTAGCCAAGATACATATCAGTAAGTAGAAATAGTCCTTTTAACTGTCCTTAACAAATTAAACTTTCTCTTCGTTTCATGATATTCCTTGTTTCTCAGCTTTGGATTCAAACTGATCTTCTCTTAACTTTTTTGATTATACTTTCCTGATTTCTTTTGTTGTCACATTTTGTGAAAAGTTTTCATACACCTCCAGTCTCTTTCTGCCTAGCTGCCTCTTCTCACCCAAATTGGGCCCCCCTACTCCTACTCTGCCACGTGCCTTCTTGGACATGTCACAAAAAGGAGATGCTTGTTTAGAGTCTTAGAAAAGACATGCACTTTAAATAAAAGTGGGTTTTATTTTTATTCACTGTGCTCTATCATAAATCTCATTTCAGAAGAGGCAACTGACATTTGAATTGTCTGTGCATTTTCTTTTAGATGGTGTTACTGAGAAGGAAACTAAGGACTTGGCTCCAAAACAAAAACATTCTGGAGATGCTGAGTTTTGTGGGGTGGGGAACTGCAACGTCAATGCAGTAAGTGTGGTAAAAGCCGTAGCTTCTGGTGAGTCATTACTCAGCATCATGGAGTCCACAATGAAGAGAATCTCTGCAATCTCTGCAATCAACAAGTTTTGAAAGGCTTTTGTTTATAGTGGATGCCTCTTTTCCCCCCAGAAGATTCACTACAAGGAAAAATGCTATCATTATAAGGAATGTGGGAAAGTTTTCAGCCACATGGCCTTATTTGACATCAAAGAATCCACGTAAGAGACTGCATAAATGTGATAACTGAGAAGGCCTTTGTTCAGCAAGGAAACCTTATACAACCTTGTTTGACAAATGTAGGAAGACCTTCACCCAGACGCAAGGACTGACTGTGCACCAGAGAATCTGCACGATAAACGAGATGAATGTGGAAATGCTTTCCATTGTGTACCAGCTTTCCTCAGCATTGGTGCATTCACACTAAAGGGAAACCCTACCAGTGTTAGACTATGGAAAAGTCTTCAGAGGTTGGAACTTGGGAAAAATCAGTGAATTCATATTAGAGAGGCTCTTATAAATGAGAGGATTGTGGGAAGTTATATGGACAAAGATCATACCTCAACAAGGGAGTTTCCACAGTTTTGAAAAGTTAATATAATTAATGTAAGTGGGCAAGTTGTATGGGAAATGAGTATTCTAAAATGCTCATTTTAGCCAGTAAAAACGTTGAGTGTCTTAGGTCAAGAAAAGGAAATGTTAGAAATATTTTTCTTTTCCAGAGGGGTCTGTAAGTATAAGCAACCAGGACTTCTGAAATAAGTTGCATCTCTGGATTTGTGATCTGTCTAATGGATGATTATCTCAGCTTTGAGGGACAGGTCTTTTTCTTCATGCCTGCTCTAGTCTCATATCTTTAATTCATTCAGCAAGTGTACCCAGTAGTAGTATTGTCTACTGTTTACTGTAAATATATATATTTTCTTTATGGGCTGAGCAGCCTTGTATTAGCACCCTGGGACACAAAAATCACATATATAATGTTTCAGTAAATGTAGTGAAAAGAACTGTATTATTGAATTGCTGGGTATTTCCGTAAATTTGAGACTGCCTTTATATTCTCCAATACAAGACCATGTAGGTATCCCGTCAGAGAGTATATTTTTCCAGGTTTGGCTTGTTTATTTTATTTTATTTATTTTGAGATGGAGTCTTGCTCTTGTTGCCCAGGCTGGAGTGCAATGGCACTATCTCAGCTCACTGCAACCTTTGCCTCCTGGGTTCAAGCAATTCTCCTGCCTCAGCCTCCTGAGTAGCTGGGATTACAGGTGCCCACCACCACGCCCTACTAATTTTTGTATTTTTAGTATAAATAGGGTTTCATCATGTTGGCCAGGCTGGTCTTGAACTCCTGACCCCATGATCCGCCTGCCTCAGCCTCCCAGAGTCCCGGAATTACAAGCGTGAGCCACCGCACTCAGCTATTTTTTTAAGATAGAAAAATATACTTCACATATAGTCTACTGACAGATAATGACTGATTTTTTTCTTATAGATAACACATAATACACATTGTGAAGGCTAATATATTAAGTAACTTGCTTATTTTCCGTTCTAAAACCTATAGGCAAAAATATGAAAGAATCTATAGAAGCTGTCAATATGTAGCCCAATCTCTACCCATGATGAGAGAATACAGCTTATATATTTTAGAGTAGGGCACTAAATTCAGGAACCATGTATTTCAAAACTTTTTAGTGATTATCTCAGAATTCTGGGTTTCTCTGTGCTGTACATCCCTAAATTTTTTGCATAGATATTATTAATATATTCATTATTTTTAAAGATGGACTGCATTCTGTAAAAGGCTTTTCTAGTATCTGCAAATCACATAATTTTTTTCTTTATTATATAAAATGATTTCCTAATATTGAGCCAACCTTGCATTCCTAAAACAAACCTCAGCCATGGCATGTTATTTTCTTAATGTGTTAATGGGTTTACTTTTTAATATTTTACTTAGTATGTTTTCTTCAATATTCATGTGAAATTGGTCCATAATTTTTATACTATATTTTTCAGGTTTAGATTTTCACTCTTTACTTGCATCATAAATATAATTTAAGTCTGTTTTCATTTTTAATGATCTAGAACAATTTATTAAGCGTCAGATCTAGCTAGTCTTTGGAAGGATAGCTTCTGATGTGAAACCCTCTCAGTCATATGCTTTTTTGTGGGATAATTTCTGGTAACTTCCTCTATTCTATGAAAATGATCTTTTTAGGCTATTTATAATGGGTTCCACTTTGGTAATCTTTGCCTTGGAAATTAACCATTTCATCAAGACTTTCAAATGTATTTGCCTAGAATATGCAATGTAACCTTATGACTTTTAAAACAAATTTTATTTATTTTTTTAGAGACAGGGTCTTGCTCTAGACTGGAGTCCAATGGTGCAGTCATAGCACACTGCAGCCTTGAACTCTGGTCTCAAGGAATCCTTCCACTGTAGTCTCCCACCTAGCTGGGACTACAGGCATGCACCACCACATGGAGGTAATTTGTTTGTCTATTTGTTTTTTGTAGAGACAGGGTCTCTTTGTTGTTCAGGCTGGTCCAAAACTCTTATCCTCAAGCGATTCTCCTGCCTCAGCCTTCCAAAGTGCTGCAATTACAGGCATGAGCCACCATATCTGGCTTCCTTAGGACTTTTTAAACAGCTTTATTGAAGGAAATTGATATGTAATGAACTGCATACGTGTACAGCTTGTTAAGTTCTAACATGTTTACTTGTTAAGTTCTAACATTTTCATCATGTCCCTTGATAATTTCTCCCACCCTTACCTGCACTCTTCTCTGCTCTCCAAGCAACCTCTATTCGGCCTTCTGTTGCTAAGGTGTAATGAATGAATTAGTTAAAAGGTTAGCTAATTAAACCATTATTACTTAATACTTTAATCTTGGGTGTTTTACAGTTAATCCAATGATGAAAAATTGGCAGGGAAGGCCCTCCTGGATCTCCTTGAAGGGAAGTACCTAGACCACCCAGAATTTTTGTAGATTCCTCTGAAAAGGATGACAAGTTGTCTCCACCCATACTCCCATTCAGATCATTCTTTCTTTTATATTTATAAAATATAATTTATTTAATATCTCTAACTTACTTTCCTATTTCTTGTTAACTCTAGAAAAGTATAACTAGCAGTTATACCTTAAATGGGGAGAGGTAGAAAGCCTCATTTCTCGTCAGAGGAAATTGTCTCATGACAGCCTCCATGGTAGGTAGGGAGGTATGTGGGAAATGGCCTTGTATCAGCTCCTCACAAAACCTACCGTGCACTCATGTTCTAGGTGAGTTACAGCGCTTAGATAAGCTAGTGTTAAATCCTGGTCTCTGTGGCTCATATGAAATTATGCAAGTTGCCTGGCAGCCATGGTGCAGTCATTCTTCTAAAGAGCTATTAAGTCTGTTAAGTCTCACCAAAGTGAGAACAGAAATGCATAAAATGCCTTAGAAGACAGAAGCTTGTTTAGGTCTTTTGTTCTTCGGGGGCAGAAATAATGTCTTGTTCATCTTTGATTCTTTAGCACCTGACCTGACATAATCAGGTTTGCTGAATGAATGGTTATAAACACATAATTTCTTTAGAAATAAGGGAAGACTTTTATTTCTGGAAATATGAATGTGAATACTTTGGTCTCCAGCAATTACTGTCAGGAGATTTTATGTTATGTTAATAATACAAAAGAACAAGTAGAGCCAGCCAATTTTCAGAACTATTCATTCATCAGTAACTCTGCTAGATGCTAAGGATACAATGGTGATATAGTTGTTTATCTCTTGTCCCTCAGCCTGCCTCATACCAGCCATTCCCCATCCTGATCTGTAAGCGGAGTAGGGAGGCTACAAACATCATTTCCCAGGCTCCTACTGCCATTTGGAAGAACTTACAAAAGGAGGCAGCACAGGTTAAAGGTTTTTTTTTTTTTTTTTTTTTTTTTTTTTTTTTTTTTTTTGAGACGGAGTTTTGCTCTTGTTACCCAGGCTGGAGTGCAATGGCGCGATCTCGGCTCACCGCAACCTCCGCCTCCCGGGTTCAGGCAATTCTCCTGCCTCAGCCTCCTGAGTCGCTGGGATCACAGGCACACGCCACCATGCCCAGCTAATTTTTTGTATTTTTAGTAGAGACGGGGTTTCCCCATGTTGACCAGGTTGGTCTCGATCTCTTGACCTCGTGATCCACCCGCCTCGGCCTCCCACAGTGCTGGGATTACAGGCTTGAGCCACCGCGCCCGGCCAGGTTAAAGGTTTTAATGCTTTACTGAAATTGTAATACTCTACTGTAGTTTTAATGTTGAAACTATAGTATTGTGATGGCCAATTTTATGTGTCAACTTGACTGGGCCACAGGGTCCCCAGATACTTGGTCAAACATTATTCTGAGTGTTTGATTTTAGATGTGATCAATCATTACCTCAGTAGACCAGGTGAAGCAGATTCCCTTCCCTAATGAGGGTGGCCCTCATCTGATTAGTTGAAGGAAGGAAGAAAACAAAAAAGATGATGCTACCTCAAGGGGTACGCCTCTTGACCATCTTGAGCTGGGTCATCAGTCTTTTCTGGCCTTCAGACTCAAACTAGAACACTGACTCTTCTGGGTCTTGAATCTGCTGGCCTTTTGACTGCTCACTCCGTTGGCTCTCCTACGTCTCTAGTTTGCAGATCGGAGAACCTGGGACTTCTCAGCCTCGATAATCATATGAACCAATTCCTTCCAATAAATAAAAATATATACACAAACATATATATTATGTATAATATACATAAATCGGTATTATAACTACAAATATATATGTATACACATACATACATATATAGACACAAACCCTATTGGTTCTGTTTCTCTGGAGAATCCTAATATATATTCAGAAAGTTTAGAAATCATGCAATGCATTTTTCTCAATTTAAGAATCCACCCAAACAAAGTAACCATATGGTTTACTACTATAATACAAATAATTTACATTAGGATTTGTTAGATTTGTGTCCCCTAGACCCCTGAAAACCTTGAAGGATCAAGCCTTGGAAACTGGCATAAAAACAGGGACTTGGGTAGTTCTATAAAGGATTTTGGATGACGACTCAATTTCTACTAAACAAAATACATAGAGCAGGAGATAATATATCACAATGCCCAAATCATTAACTATAAAAGGTGACCAGAAAAATCTCTGAATTCCAGAGTCTTTAATTGATATTATAAATATGGAAGAGATTGCTGGTACCAGACACCAAGTGAGAAATGTGAGTAAATGCAATAATGAAAGCATATTTCTACAATAAGGAGAAGTTATGCTAACAAAAAAGGAACTGTCTTCCCACAATTGTCACACACATAAGGCTTTTCTCCCCAGTGTGGGTTCTCCGGTGTTTGATAAGTCCTGAGCAGTGACTGAAGGCCTTGCTGCATTGTTCATTTTGCTAGTGTGCTTCTCCTCATTGTAAGAATAAGGTGAAGCGCTAACATAACAGTTTGCAGCAAAACGGTCATTCCGAAATACTCTTGTAGAAACAATGCCACTGAATGTATACGTAATAAATACTAATTGTATAATGCTGACTAAAAGTTTTCTCACTTCAATTCACAAGACTAAAATTTTGACTATCATCCTGGGAAAAAAAGATGGTCTACAGTGTGTTTAACAAAAAGTAGATAGCCTGAGGAGTTAAATTAATGGTTAAAATAGTCATCATGAAAAACTAAGATGGTATTACCACAGAGGTGATTTAGGAATCAATGTATAAGAAGACCAAGATAGTCAGACATTAATAAAGGGGTTCTGAAACTGTAAGTGATACTTGTTTTAAATATTTGGTGTGAATCCACTGACCTGAGAAAGTATTAACTTAGCAGGAATAAGTTTTACACAGTTTACAGTGTGTGTTGGGTGGTAGGCAGGATAGTGTCTATTGTTTTAGGAGACATTGGTTAGGCCCAGAGAACTAAGGGAACTAAGATACTGTGCATTAGAATATTTATCATTTTATTCTGACTTGATGATTGATTTTCATACTGACTGAATAGGAAAGTGTTTTCCTTAAACAGTAGCAACAGGGAAACATTAAAGAATGAAATTTGCTGGGCCTGCTCTGGCTGCTCAGCTGACCTCTCCATTTACCTTCTGATACCTGGACATCCCTGCCCTGTTCAGCCCCATAGCTCCCAACTGTTTGGTTTCTGCTCCATGGTTAGGGCTCTGACAGCTCCTTTGAATAAACCAGACACCCTCCCCATACACACACACACACAAAAAGAATGAAATTTGGGCTGGGTATGGTGGCTCACACCTGTAATTCCAGTACTTTGAGAGGGTGAGGCAGGATTGCTCAGGATGTTGAGACCAGCCTGGGCAACATAGTGAGACCCCATATTTAAAAAAAAAAAATGCAGTTCCATGGATGGTACACATTCATAATGATTTGGTGATAAGCTGTTTAAGGCATTTGCACCAGAACAGAATTCCTAGTCTGGTAAAGAAATATCCCGGTGGCTCACGCCTGTAATCCCAACACTTTGGGAAGCCGAGGCAGGTAGATCATGAGGTCAGGAGATCGAGACCATCCTGGCTAACGCAGTGAAACTCCGTCTCTACTAAAAATACAAAAAAACTAGTCAGGCATAGTGGCACGCACCTGTAGTCCCACCTACTCTGGAGGTTGAGGCAGGAGAATCGCTTGAACCCGGGAGGTGGAGGTTGCAGTGACCCGAGATTGCACCACTGCACTCTAGCATGGGCAACAGAGGGAGACTCCCGTCTCAAAAAACGAAAGAAAGAAAGAAAAACAAATATGGATTCTTTCTATCACAGAAACCCTGCCATTACCTCTGCTCTGCCTCTGTACTTGGCAAAAAAATGCACTAAATTGAGTAACACTCTGGGTCACAGAATTAGACACAAGCACAAATGGCCTTGGTGAGTTCTTTAGAAACCTGGATAACATCAAATTTTCAGAGATATTAAGGTAATCTCACTGGTACATTCAACAAACATTTATTAGCACCTGTGGAAAAGGCACAGAGGGGAATATAAGACTGTGAATCTGACAAACTGGAGGACTCATTAGAGTCAAAGAGAATGGTCAGAGAAGCAGCCCCCAACTCACAACCATCTACCCAGTAGACATCACAAAGTACTGGATTAGGGCAAGCAGCCAGTCTAAACATCCCATTAATTACAATGGGAGAGAACAAACCATTTCAGGTCTTACCTCTTCTAGACAACTTTCCCATAGTCTCCTATCAAGTATGTTTTGATTCCAAACACCTTCTAGAATTTAGAAGATAATTCATCTAACCCAGTCTATATTTTCTAACACCTGATAATGTGTAGCGGTAAATGAAGCCCAGTCCACAATTTCTATAATCGACTCCAGGGTGAGTGGCTTCAGATCGGTCACAAATGAGCACCGACTCGCATGGACGGCGTGGTCACTGTGATAGGATGTTTCTCCCTGCGTGGCTCCTCTGATGTTGAACAAGGTATGAGAGTCGGGTGAAGCCTTTTCCACATGCGTCACACTGATAAGGTTTCTCACCAGTGTGGATTTTTTTATGTTCAATGAGGCCTGAATTCTGGGTGAAACTTCTTTCACACTCATTACATTTGTAAGACATGGGAGTTTCAACATTCTCCAACTGGCTTTCCATCCTACTTTTCCAGGTGTCTCCCTGCTCAGGTTCCTGAACATTTCTATCCCCAGTATGAATCCTCTGATGTCTCAGGAGATGTGAACTTCGCCTAAAGGCTTTGCCACACATATTACACTGATATGGCTTCTCCCCTGTGTGGATTCTGTGATGTTCAAGGAGGCTGCAGCTCTGGCTAAAGGTCTTCCCACAGTCATCACACTCGTAGGGCTTCTCCCCAGTGTGGGTTCTCTGGTGTTTGATAAGGTCTGAGCTGTGACTGAAAGCCTTGCCACATTCTTCACACTCATATGGCTTCTCACCAGTGTGGACTCTCTGATGAATGATGAGGGCAGAGCTCCCAATGAAGGCTTTGCCACACTCCTCGCATTCGTAGGGTTTCTCGCCAGTATGGATTCTCCTGTGTTTACTCAGGCCTGAACTTTGAGCAAAACTCTTTCCACATTCATGGCACATGTGCCGCCTCCCTCCTGTGGCATTTTTCTGCTTTCTTTGTAACCTGCCCTCCTGTTCACCAGCTTCTGCACATGTAGGAATCTGGGCAATGTCTTCACTCAGGTGGCACGATATCTTCCCATGCTCCTTTTTTGGAAGCTCCTCGGCTGGAGGCAAGTCCCTGCTCTTAGTCTGTATTTCACCACCTGAAACGACAAATGGCCGGCAACTGTGGGTTACACCCTGCCCTGGGAGGAAAGTTGTATGATGAGTGCCAGGGAGGCAAGAATGACAGAGGTCTACAAATGCCCGGGATGAGGATTTAAGTGCTAGAATAAGGATGGGAACAAAAAGGAAAAACAGAGTGCTAGGGAGGAGGGAGACCTGAGAATGGGAATGGGCCACTGGAAGGGTACAAACAGGGAGTGGAAGGAGTGGATGGAAGATGGTGAGGATCCAGGACTATGCTAGGGATATATGTGGTCGTTCTAAGCTCTATGAATGGTAAGGCAGGGCCATGCACCTAGGATTAGATACTAAAGGGGTTGAACAGAAAGTGACAGTAAATGGGGCAAGTGGAAGGAATTTCTGAAATATCTTTGAGAAACAGCAATTGGGAGGCTGAAGCTGACAGATCACTTGAGGTCAGGAGTTCAAGACAAGCCTGACCAACATGGTGAAACCCTGTCTCTACTAAAAATACAAAAATTAGCCAGGCATTGTGGCAGGTGCCTATAATCCCAGTTACTTGGGGGGCTGAGGCAGGAGAATCGCTTGAACATGGGAGGCAGAGGTTGTAGTGAGGTTGTAGTGAGCCGAGATCACGCCACTGCACTCCAGCCTGGTTGACAGAGTGAGACTCCATCTCAAAAAACAAAAACAAAAACAAATGAAACAGTGAAAGTAGAGACTCAGAAATTGGGCACTGATCAATGAACAATATAGACAGTTTTCTGTGCTCATCTCTCAGGCAGAGGCAAGGTCCCCAAACAGAATTGGATTCAGTGCCGGGAGATCTGTGCCACCAATGAGTTATGTGGCCTCAGACAAGTCAGACAATCTTTTCAGCCTCTGCACCCTCATCTCTGAGGTCAGGGTCTATAGTCAATGTCTAAAGACCCTTCTAACTCTCACACTCTATGGTCCCAAGGCCCATTTCCTGAAGAGAGCCCCCAGATTTCCTCTTCAGTCAGGGATAGGAACTGAAGGACATCAACATTTACTGGGCATCTCCTATGAGCCAGACCTGTACTTGGGGTTGTATCGACTTCAACCCATTTAACTTAACTAGAATACTGATAGGGAGAGGAGAAAGCAAGGTCAGAAGGGGTAAGCAGGCTGGGTGCAGTGGCTTATGCCTGTAATCTCCACATTCTGGGAGGCCAAGGCAGGAGGATTGCTTGAGCCCTGGAGTTTGAGACCTGCCTAGGCAACATAGCAAAACTCTATCTCTATAAAAAATAAAAATTAAAAAAATTAACCAAGTGTGGTGGTCCATGACTGCAGTCCCAGCTATTTGGGAGGCTGTGGTGGGAGGATCACTTTAGCCGAAAAGGTCGAGGCTGCAGTGAGCCATGATTGTGCCACTGCACTCTATCCTGAGTGACTGAGTAAGACCCTATCTCTCAAACAAAAAAAAAAAAAAAAAAAAAAGTAAGGAGCTGGTTAGTAACAGGCTTTCAGAAATGGTGATTGTGAATTCAAACATAATACAGCTCAACAGGTTCTAATACACAAAGAATGCCAAGAAACCTTAAGAGGAATTAGTGTCCTTCAGTCTTACCCAGGGAGACCAGGCTGCCAAGGTTCTCCTGCTTTTCATCTCTACAGAGATTCACCTGAGACGAATCCTGCTGTGTCCATTCAGGGGTGAGGGTCAGGGCCACATCTTCCACTTTCAGCAACCCCTAAAGCAATAGGTAATCCCACTGAAGAAGGGGCTGACCAAAATGATGGAGTAGGGAAGATCTGGGAAGCACCCCAGCCCCACCCCTGCCAACAGCTAGTAATAAAACAGGAAAAGCCTCTTACGTGGGCACCTAAATGAAGTTATGATAAACAACCTCAAGATAGATGAGAAAATGCAAATCCCATCTGAGATCTGCATGGAGGATCTAGCATGGGGATAGAGGGAAACGGGGAGGGAGGAGTCCTCACAGGAAGCTCAACAGCAGTGAAGGGCATTGGGGGAGGGACAGGGGCTCCACCTCACCTGGGACTCTGGAGTAACCCTAGAAGCTACCACTGCATCTCCTCTGCAGTACCCTCCATGGGCAAACACAGGGACCTGGAGAACTAAGAAGGAAAGAAGCTCTGGATGAGATGTACCCTGGCATTCAGCCTCCCTGCCTTGTGAAATCTAAGTCAAATATGTGGATTAATAGATTCCTGTCTCACTTGATTGAGCCCAGGAGTCTGAAGCTGCAATGAGCTATGATTGTGCCACTGCACTCCAGCCTGGGCAACAAAGCAAGACTCTGTCTCTCTAAATAAACAAATTCCTGCCAAACAAGTTTATACAGAGTATGCTCTTTTCCAAAATTCCCAGTCCCTACCAGCTCCAATCTTATGGCTAAAGATATCTGTGGTGCTCTGTAGATATATGAAAACAATGCAAAAAGGCAGAATCCTTGTTAGCATCAGTGAAATAAAAAAAACACAAAAATAAAACAGAAAAGCTTTCGATTTGAAGATCCTTTGAATTTTGCTAGTGATAGGAGGAAAAATTGGATTTTTAGTGAGTATGCCCTTAGTAACTGTCAGGGTGCTTTTCACTTTGGATTTGAAAAGTTAAGAGGAGTCAGACAAAGCTGGGCTATAAAAGGCAGAAATAAGGGCTGACTTTTACAACTTGCTAAAATTCAAGAGAGAGAAAAGTAAAGGACTACAGGTTTCCTTATTATTCCTTAAATAACTTCAGGAAGCAAATTTTGATCCTGACCAACTGGGTGAAACCCCATCACTACTAAAAATATGAAAATTAGCTGGGCATGGTGGTGCGTGCCTGTAGTTTCAGCTACTCGGGAGGCTGAGGCAGGAGAATCGTTTGAACCTGGGAGGTGGAGATTGCAGTGAGATCATGCCACTGCACTCCAGCCTGGCAACAGAGCAAGACTCCATCTCAAAAAAATAAAAAAGAAAAGAAAATCCTTACCTCTGTCTTGCAAGGGTTGGGATCCCAGAGATTCATGCTTGAGCAGAGCCTTCATTAGCTGAGCTTGGCTACTTTGTGACTCTGGGGATGGTGGCAACAGTGCCATCTTGCAACAGGGAAGCTCTTGCCCCTGGTCAACACCTGGAACCTAGAAATCATTTATTCTTATTTTCATTTATTCATCAGACACTTCCACAGAACCATTTATGTGGCTGGCACTGTTTCCAAGAGTATTATAAATGTTATCTAATTTAACGCAGAAAATAACAATCTTATAATGGAGGTACTATTGTAACACCCATTTTACTGACAGGGAAATTAAGGCACAGCTAGTTTAAGTAGCTAATAAGTGGCAATGGTAGGATGGGAGCTCAGGTAGAATGATGCCAGAGCACATGTTCTTACCATTACTCTATGCTCCTTCATATATACATTTATGCTTTTATGAAAATCCTTTGGAAACCGGTGCAAAATTCTCAGAGAATGTTAATACCTTTTATTGTCTGAAAAGGGGATGACAATCTTTAGTTTATGGAATTTGGGGGACCCAAATAAGATCAGAGCATGTGAAATCACCTAATACGGCCTGACATATGGTATGTCCTCATTAAATGCAGGCTTCCTTCCAGATATTTATAATACTATACAATTACAGTTTTCAAGTTAGTTTCTCATGTGCAGCTCAGAATTTCCCACATCCTTTATGAAGAATGAAGCTAAGAGACTTGCAATGACTTCCCACTATTACAGGGCTCGGGTGTGATAGACCCAAGCCAAGAACCTTGGTATCCCGCTCTCCAGTTAGAAGGCTCTGGCCACACAGGTCCTCTGAGGTGTGTGCACAGGGACACATGATGATGCAAAGAAGAAACCATCTCATAAAACAGTGAAGGAAATGGAGGTAGAAATCGGCCCACTTTATACCAGAGGTCCATCATAACCAGTGGTCCATGAACTCCTTCCCACATAGTCCATGAACTTGAATAGGACAAAAATTAATGTTATTTTTTACTGGTCTTTAAGAGAGAGTTAGCATTTCTTCAGTTAAAATTGGAAGCAACAAATCAAGGTAGCATAAGCAGTACCCAGGTCTACCTCACCAATAGGGCCTGCACATGTTTTCACATCACATTACAACCAGGCAAAAGGGTACTTATCACTGCTTTGCGATTGCCAGTTATAAGGCCTGTCCCTAGGTCACATTATTTAGTGCAGTAATAAAAAACACATGTACGACTTTAATACAAATTTAATACAGTGCTAACTGTATGTTATGACTGCATCCTTTGTAATCCTTTATGGTTTATGTATTTTAAAAAAATTATTCTGAGGAGTCCAGGGACTTCACCTTACTGCCAAGGAGGTTCATGGTACAAAAAGAGATGGAGAACTCCCGGATCTGAAGGGGATGCCCCTCACTCCGATCTTGAGATGTCAGGAGGAAACGGACCACAGCGCTGAGATACTAAACCTGTTCTTTCTACCTGCGGTGCCGGCTCATCCCGCCGCCTCTCCAAATACTCCAGCAGCAGCACCACCTCCTCCCCGCTCTCTGGATGCTGCTCCCGCACCCAGCTCTGCACGTTCCCCGGCAGGATGGTGAGGAACTGCTCCAGCACCAGCAGCTCCAGGATCTGCTCCTTGCTGTGCATCTCAGGCTGCAGCCACTGCCGGCAGAGCTCTCGGAGCCGGCTCAGCGCCTCGCGGGGGCCTGCAGCCGCCGGGAAGCGGAAGCCTCGGAAGCGCTGGCGCGAGCGTTCAGCACCCAAATCCAAACTACTGGGAAAACCGGCCTCTTCTTCCTCCACCTTTATGACCAGAAGCTCCGTCTGGTCTTCTGTAGACTGGGCGTCCAGGGCTGCTCTTTCACTAAATTCTCTAGCCATCCTGGGCCAAGGCAGTCCTCAGGCCTCACTCCAGCTTCCAGGGCTATTTCTGCAGATCCCTGGAAGGTGGGAAGTCATTGTTAACCAGTAAACATGCAAGCTGTCCCCTCTCTCCTGCTCAGGAGCCCAGAGACCTCGCTGAGGAACTGCTGCAGAAATTTCTCCATGTTCGATGCTTCCGCAGCTTAATCCTCTACACCACCCATGCCTGAATCCCACAGTAAGGTTCCCAAAGGATGTCCCAGGGTGATCCCGGACACCCCCAAACCCTGACTAGTCAGGAAAGAAAATGAAAGTGGTGAGGATCCAGGGGACTTCCTGGACTCTCTAGGCAGCCCCTCTCAGCAAAATTGTCCAGAGTTAACCCATTAACAATCAGGTCTGGGTTGTCCAAATTCTAAGATGACCCTAATTTCCTGCCCCAATCCTCAGGACTTTGAAAATGAGATAGCAAGTCCAGACTGACTGGACTGATCCCAAGGAGCTAAATTCTACTGACAATCTCAATGACCTTATAAACAGATTCCTCTCAGAGCTTCCAGATAAGACTGCAGCCCTACCAACGCGTTGGCATTGGCCTGGGAAGACCCTAATATTGAACCCAGCTGAGCCTGCCTGGCCTTCTGACCTATAGAACTGGAACAAATAAACTGGTTTTTTTGTTTGTTTGGTTGGTTGGGTTTTTTGTGTTTTTTTTTTGCTTCTTTGTTTTGAGATAGAGTCTCACCTTGTTGCCCAGGCTGGAGTGAAGGCATGATCTTGGCTCACTGCAACATCTACCTCCCATGTTCAAGAGATTCTCCTGCCTCAGCCTCCTAAGTAGGTGAGATTATAGGCATGCACCACCACGCCCAGCCAATTTTTGTATTTTTAGTAAAGATGGGGTTTTGCCATGTTGGCCAGGCTGATCTTGAACACCTGACCTCAGAAGATCTGCCTCAGCCTCCCAAAGTGCTGGGATTAAAGGCGTGAGCACTGCACCCAGCCCAGATTTTGTTTAAAGCTGATAAATTTGAGGCAAATGTTATACAGCAACAGAAAACTAACACAGTTGATACCATATCTGCAGGTTCTACATCCATACATTCAACCAGCTGGAAAATATCTGGGGGGGGAAATATAACAAAAACAACAATTAAAAAAAAACACATGAAAATACAAAATAACAAGGATTCACAATGCATTTCTATTATATTTGGTTTACGAGTAATCTAGAGATGATTTAAACTGTACAAGAGAAGCTGAGCCTGGGGCCCACTACTGCAGTCCCAGCTACTCAGGAGGCAGAGGCAGGAGTACCACCTGAGCCCAGGCGTGCAAGGATGCAGTAAGCTATGATTGTGCTACTGTACTCCAGCCTGGGCAATAGTGTGGAGACCCCATCTCTTAAAAAAAATATGCAGGAGGATGTGTGTATGTTGTAGGCAAATACTATATACCATTTTACGTAAGACTTGAGCATCCACAAATTTTTGTATCAGTGGGGATCCTGGAATCAATCCCCCACAGATAGTGAAGCATAGCTGTATCAGGTCTTATCTGTGGTCAAGGTACTGCAGTAAGGGGAAGAAGAAAGAAAAGATAGAAGGCCCTAGACCAAAAGAAATAGGACTGAATTAACAAACCTTGGCTGCCTGCTAGTGAGACCCTCAGTTATATGTGATGTAAGACTTGTCCAAAAAACTGGCATAATACTCATATTAAAATTCAGCTAAAAATCGAGTTTCTCCAGACTCTTATGATCTCTGGGCTGGAGGCCCTTTAGTTTCTCTCTGAAACATCAAGAAAGCAGAAAACATCACCCAGCCCTTGCCCTAGAGAGAGCACAGGCTGCCCCTGGTCTTTGCCACCTCCTCAATCTGCCACTCTCTTTCTTCCCCTTCAAGACCAGACTTCTTGAAAGAAAGCCCTCAGTCCCTGATTCTAGTCCTCACCTCCCACTAAGCCTTCCACACATTGTAGCCTGCAAACAGCCAACATCACTAAGATTCTGCCCGCACAAGTAACCAAAGGTGCTTCCCTCGATTCCCATTTTCCATGGCCTCTTCTCAGGCAACTGGGCTGAAGATACTGCCTACTTCCAGAAACTCACTCGTCCTTGACTCCTCCTTCCTCGTTCTTCTCAGCTCCCATCATAATCTGGTTACTGTTCTGAAGCCAGGTCTCCTGAGGTCATTATAATCCTGGCTTTACTACCTACTAGCTCAGTGCCTCCCTTTTTTAATCTGTAATAGGGATAGTGACAGCAAATAGAGCCATTGTAAGCATTAAGTAAGTGACTGTAAAAAGTTCTTAGCACAATGCCTGGTGTGTGGTTGTAAGGAACATGGCTGTGTTGCAGCCAGGCAGGCATACGCCAAGGTCAATAGCCTGCATGACTCAGCAGGACTGGAGTGCAGGCACACAATTTCATGCATTCTATAGTCACAGCTATGTAGCCATAACACGGGAGTCTCATCCCCTGGCTCTGAGCCACTGTTGTCTGTGAGCTGTACAAATGCAGCACCGACACTGTGGAAGAGCTGCTGAATAAAGCCATGTCCCATCTACCTGCTGTCTCTTGAGTGTTCTTCCAGCTCCCTGCCCCAAATCCACCCACTCCCCTCGGACCTCAGCTGGGGCTTGACCCTGACATTTGGTATAGTGGGCAGGATGAGGTGAGCGGCTCTTCAGCCCCCAGGCTCCCGGACCAGCTATGCAGCCGCAGCATGAGCTGTGGAACCCAATGGCAGCCGTGCTGTGAGGATGGGCTCTGGTGGAAACATGGGCCATAGTGGGTAGGTCCTCCATGAGTGTGGAGAAGATGCTGAAGCACCTAGAAGTGCACAGCATGGAGAAGGAGAGTACCTATGCCAGCAGAGTCAGATGGGCATTTGTGACAAGTGCCTGACCAGTCCCTGCTGGACGCAGCACAGGGAGGAGGAAGAACCTCCGTTATAAGCTCACCCAGTGGTCTGCCAGACAACAGAGCACGAACAGCCACTGGGTCCCAAGGGTGGGCCCAGGGACTCCCAACCGTGGGGAAGCACCGTCATATAGTGCTTGTACCCCCACTGAGTTGCGGAGTTAGGCAAGCAATGTCAGCAGCATCTGGGGGAGGCCCTCCCTGCCTGAATTCTCTCTCTCTGGGACAAAGGAGCTGACCTATTTCCTGCTCAACCTCTGAGATGGAAGAGCAGGTTTCTTTAATTACAGTGTGGACTGATGTCGATGAATTACCAAAAACTGTCAGTAGATGGCAATTGTATACAGGCTTAGTGCAGGTCATTCGGGAAAAGGGCATTGCTGCATGACCAGAGCGTTCCAGCTCAAAGATTACTTGCTGCAATCAGGCAGAAATGTAAAGCCTTTCCTCTTTGATTGGGAGCTGGCCAAGGTGCCCAGCTTGCAGGGGACATTGGATAACCAAAGGCTGTATGTGGACTCGGCAATCCACCGGTCCCTAAAACCGAGTAGAGCTCCAGGCAGAGCTGCATTTACTGATGGTTGTGAAAGCTGATGAGTGAAAGTGAAACCTGGTTCTTTGCACCTTGGCATCAGCTGCTTGGCTCCCCACCTGTGCACCATGTATGCCTCTCCCATGCCTGAGGACATTCTGGAGATGGATGCTTTGCACAGCTTGGCAGCTGTGCTATCATAGATTTGATAGACCACTTGACAACAGAACTGGCATGGTGCCACTGTATGGTGTGCTTGACCAATGCATTCCCCTTAATTGTGATCACTCCAGAGAGCCAGTTTGCCTTCATGGGAGGACGACAATGGATATTCTTAGTGTTACTGCAGGGCTATATGCATAGCCCCATTACATGTCATGGTCTTATTAATGACGTTATGTTAACCTCTGATTCTCTTGCAGATTTAGAAGCAGGAATGCCCCTCTTGCCTGGGATTGGGATGATACAGCTGAAACCACCTTCCTGGCAGCTAAACAGGCTTTTCAGCAGGCACAAGCCCTCAGGTAGCTGATCAGGAACACCGATTTAAACTTGATGTGCATGTTACCACAGAGAGTTTTGACTGGGGCTTCTGGCAGTGCACAGAGCACTTTAGAATGCCAGTAGACTTTCGGTCCCAACTTTGGAAGGGAGCTGAGTGCTGGTATTCCTTGACAGAGAAGCAGTTAGTAACTGCATAGGCTGCCATTTAGGCTCAGGACAGCATGGCAGGATGGGCTACAGTTGTTGTGTGCATGACTTACCCAACAGCAGGGTGCATACACTCATGGTTAACAACCTGCACACTGGGATGGCACAGACATCCACTTTTGCAAAGTGGGGTGCCCACGTGGAACAGCAAAGTATGCTAAGTCAAGTCCCTTAGCAGCACAATTACAAGAAGGACCTACAGTCCTGATAAAAGATAAGGCCATGGGACCTGAGGCACCCCTAGACCCTGAGCCTTCACTGTTTAAGGAAGGGCATCCCCGCATTCCCATTGGGGTGTGGTACACAGATAGGTCTAGCTGGGGTGTCGCAGTCCAGCCTAGTGCTGACATCTTATGGTTTGATAACAAGTGTGGACAAAGTAGCTAATGAGCTGCTCAGGGCAGTGTGAATGGTGATCACTAAGAAGGTGATATTTACGGTAATCTGCACCAATAGCTGGGCAGTTTATCAGGCTTAACCTTGTGGCTAACTACCTAGAAGTTACACAAGTGGCTAGTCACTGACCCATGTAAGGCCAGGCCACGTGGCCAGACCTATGGGAGAAAGGATGACTTCCTCCGACCAGGTATGGGGACAAACAGAAACCTGTTTTTGCCTGCCCCAACACCACTAAAGGTAGGGAAACAAAAAACTGGCTTAACATATAAAGCAACATTGGGGTAACATCATCATGGGGTGGTTGCCTGCCATAACCTGAAATGATTGCTTCTTGTATTACTACTGTGGCCTGAGTGCCCAGAGCTTATGTGTCAAGACTGTGTATGTATCAGCCCTGGGTGCCCAAGGCTTGTATGTCAGGCCTGTGTGCCAAAAACTTATGTCTCCCTTGGCCTGGGGGTGGAGTGTAAGGTAAATGGATGTGCTTTGGTCAAGAACAGGGCGAGGCAGATATCCAGCCCAGCATGACTCAGCAAGTTTGGAACGAAGGCGCACCACTCCACTCGTTATGTAACCTGTTTGTGTAAGCTCATATTTGGCTCGGAGCCACTATTGTCTGTAAAAGGTATAACTGCCCTGCTGACGCTGTACATAGGGCTTGTGTCCAGAGAGAGAGAAATTGCTGACCATGGAAGGGAGAACTGGCTGCCTTGCAGACAGACGAGGGTGAGCCAGGAACTAACAAGCTTGCCAGGGAATACAGCTGTTGAGTGTGGGAGCGGCAGGAGGCCCATAGCCGGTTGCCGAGAAGGGCTGCAGCCTCAGAGGAGGCAGCTGAGACAGACGCAGACAATGTGAGAGAGCTGCAGCTGCTGCTGCTGAAGAAAATCACATTTCACCTGCCTACAGCTCCCTGTGTGTTCTTTCTGTTATCTGCCACCCATCCACCAGCTCTCCTTGGACCTCAGCATGGGCTGGAACCTGACAAATGGTACGACAGTGGTAAGTACATATAGATGTGGGCTAACAGTATCATTAACTGGTCTTTCTTCTTTTAAATAAGAGTAGGCCTGGTGGTTCTGTTCTTGACCTTTTCTCTCTCCACAATCTTCTCCAGAACTCTCGTTAATCAATTGCAAGGTTTAAGTTCTATTTCTAGGCTGTAGACTCCTGACCCCTATCCTGAGCTGCCTCCCATACAGTCCTATATGGAAACTGTGCAAACAAATCCAATTCAATATGCCCCAAACCAAACTGATTTTCTTGCTTCCTAATCCACTCCTTCCTCAGTACAAACAGGACCAGCCACCAGGCTCCCTCAGAGTCATCACTGTGTAATGGATTATTTTTACATTTTAGGAGGGAAAAGTAAGATATTCTGGAAGACAGCCTATCCCAGAAGCCATGAGACCTGGGCCTGCCCTAAGAGGGAAGGGAAACCTGAGATTCCTATTAACCATCTGGACTAGATTTTAAACTAGAAGTGAGTGACTGCAAAATTATTTGACTGGACTCAGGTGTCAGTACATTCTTCCTTACTCAGTGGAATGGAGAGGCTACAAAATGTAAGGCTGGGCCGGGCACAGTGCTCACGTCTGTAATAAAAGCACTTTTCGAGGCCAAGGCAGGTGGACCAAGAGGTCATAAGATCGAGACCATCCTGCCCAAAATGACGAAACCCCGTCTTTACTAAAATAACAAAAATTAGCTGAGCATGGTGGTGCATGCCTGTAGTCCCAGCTACTCGGGAGGCTGAAGCAGAATTGCTTGAACTCAGGGGGCGGAGGCTGCAGTGAGCCAAGATCGCGTCACCACACTCCAGCCTGGCGACAGAGCGAGATTCCGTCTCCAGATAGATGGATGGATGGATGGATGGATGGATAGATAGAAATTGTAAGGCTGGTAGAGAGAGTAGAGGTTACAAAGGGAAAAACAAATTGCAAGTATGTATCTTCCTGAGTCTCTATTCCTCAGTCTAACTCTCTACAGTTCCAAGGACCAGGGAATAGAAGGAAATTAGGAAACCGAGAGAACCCATTGATTGTTACAAATGAAAAGTACCAGAAAATACTTCCTCCTAATAAGCTGCCACAAGAGATCTGGGGTACTGCTACACGAGCTAATAATACCAAAATAAGTGAGCCTAAATCTAATCCAGTCTTTAGATCCAAAAACCAATGTACAGGCGAAATACAGAAGAAAATTACATTAAAGGCTTTCAAACTTTGTTATATATTAGAATCACTGGGGAGCTTTAAAAACATCCTAATGCCTTGCATATAATCAAGATCAATCAGGCCAGGGCAGTGGCTCACCCTGTAATCCCTGCACTTTGGGAGGCCGAGGTGGGTGGGTCACCTGGGGTGAGGAGTTTGAGACCAGCCTGCCAATATGGTGAAACCCTGTCTCTACTGAAAATACAAAAATTAGCTGGGCATGGTGGTGCACACCCAGTTACTTGGGAGGCTGTGGCACAATAATTGCTTGAGTGTGGGAGGTGGAAGTTGCAATGAAAAAAAATCAATTAAATCACTCTCTGGGGGTGGGACTCAGCATCGGTTAAGTTTTAAAACTTTCTGGGTGATTCTAATGTGTAGCTGAGTTTGAGAACTAATAAGTTAAACATACTAAAAAGAAGCAATCAACCAAATCCAGAATGTGAGGCATTTTATAAAACAGAAGGTTCATGTTCTTCAACAAATAAATGGCATTTTTACCAAAAGGAGTGGGAGGGAATGGGAACTGTCACAGATTAGGAGACTGAACAGACTTATCAAACACAGGCAAATGGTCAACCATATTTGGACCCTACTGAAAAAAACACTGTAAAAAGACTGTTTAAAAACTGTAAAAATGTTTGAGACAATTATTTGAAAAACAATATAATGATATCAAGGAATTACTGTCACTTTCATTGCATGTGATAATGATAATAGGGTTGTATTAAGAGGAAAAGTCCTGGTATATAAGAAATTAACACTGAAGTACTTGCACCTGTGAGTGAACTAAAATGTTCCCATGTGCAATTTGTTATAAAATGAGAGAGAAGGAGAGATGGAATGAAGAAAAAAAAAAAAGAAAGAGGGGGAGAGGGAGGGAGGGAAAGGAAGACAAAAAAGGGAGGAACAGGGAAAGAAAGGAGAGAAGGAAAGAGGGAGGAAGTAAAATGGAAGGAGGGAGATGGGAGGGTGGAGGAAAAGGGAAGAAAAGGAGGGAAAAGAAGATGAAAGAAAATGACCAAAAGATGATGGCTGAAGCTGAGTCATGGGTTTATTGGTATTCACTGTAATATTCTCTCTACAGTTAAATGTGTTTAAATTTCTCCCCCAAATTTTAGAAAATTAAAGTCCTACTTCTTTCCTTCCTGAAAATACAGTCAGTAAGCATTACGGTAGGGTCGAGGAAGGTGAGAGAGAGCCATAGCCCAACCCAGAGTGAATCTGGAGCCCAAGTGGAATGGGGAGGGTGTCCACGGGGCGGGGAGACGAGAAAGTCTATGGCAGGTAAACAACACTGATACATTTTATCATTTATTCCACAGACTTCATTTAGATTTCACTACCGGGCCCCTATTTGGATCTGAGCCAAACTGATCACAGTTGGGAGGCACAAGACTAGGAAATCCGTTGCAAACATAAATTATTTATCAAATCAGTAAATATACTAAAGATCGAGAAAGCAAAGTTTCTCTATCAGAAAAGAGTTACAAGTCTAGAAAAGAGAGTTCACCCTGTAAAATTGGGTTGAAATGAAGGCTGTTAGTATGAAGCCAGTTTCAGGCTAGGACGCTCCTGGAAGCTCAGAAACTGGTCGATCTCCAGCACTAAGCAGGACATCAGACTTCTGCTAAAACCAGGGTTCCTAGTCCTTTTTCACTGTTAAAAACTTCTATTGTTCCTCCTAATCTCCAGCCAAGAAAACCGTACCCCTGAGTCTTAAAGCCTTTGGGAGTTTGAGTATCACCATGTAGAACACAAACCAGTTTTGGTCTTTGCTTTGCAATAGGCTCTTTTTCAGAGGATCTTATTTTTCCCTCCTAAAATATAGAAATCATTCAATACAAAGTGAATTGATGAATGACACTAAAATTCAAAGCAACGGTAACAAAACTTAGTCCCTAAGATAATGCGTCATCATAGGTATAAATAATAGTAGTAGTAATAATAAAAGCAAATACCTTAAATCATGCTTATTCGGCACCTTACACATATTAATGCACTCAACCCTCACAACAACCCAGTGAGTTAGGTAATATTATCCCCATTTTACAAAATAGTAAAATGAGGCAGAGAGAGGTTAGGGACTCGTAAAAAGTCACACAGCCAATAAGTGGCAGAGGCAGGATTCGAACCAGGTAATCTGACTCCAACGTTCTGGCTCTTGGCCAGTACCACAGAATAATTTAAAGACCCTGAAACTGACCTTGTCACCAGGCAGTGCAAAAACGTAACGGCTCCCATTTTCAAGGCTTGTCTATGTGACCCATGCATCCCGTCTCCAAAATACCCTGAGGAACAGACCGAGGCACCCAGGAACGGCTCTAAACAAGGGACACCCATGGTGGGCTCTACGCGGGGCGCGGAGCACCACTTAGTCCCGCCGCAGGGCGCCCTTCCCCCCACGGCTTCTCGCAGGGTCTCCGTCCTCGGGGGCCGAGGCTGCGGGAACCGGGGGGAAGGGCCTCCCTCCTCAAACTCACACACACCTGCAAACGCACCTCTACCCGGGACAAAAGAATGGCAGGACCCACAGGAGGAGAGCCCCAGAGTGAGACTTAACCCCGCAATGGAAAGCGGACGCCCAATCGGCGCCCCCTACTCACCCCATACTCACAAACGGCCCGAAACTAGCAAACCCCCGCGGGGCGGGGCGCAGAAGCCACTTCCGGGCCGCTCTAGCCACGGCCCTGGCCGACTCTGTCGTTTGCGAGCTCCGCACCTCGTGTCCCCTCCCCTTTTGCTATTAAAGAGACTTTAAAATTTTTGTTTTGCCAGCTATACCAAAGGGAGAAAGGCAAAGTGCAGAACTCTTTCCATAGTTTGCTATATTTGCGAATAGAAGAGGGTAAAAAGAATCTAAATTATGTTTGCGTGTGTGGCACAAAGAAGCCCTGGAAACATAAATTGGAAAATTAATAATGGTGGTCACCTGTGTGAGGTGAACAGTAAGAAACTGAGAAGGACAAGAGTGAGAAGGCAAGTGTTATGGTGGATGTTTTAAATGTGCTTTTTAGAGTTGATTGCATTATCTAATTAAAATATTAATTCTAAATACTTTTAAGGAGCATGCTGCGAGGTTTACATAGAAAATCCAAGATAATCTAACACTCAAATTATATTAATTAATAAAAGAGTTGGCCGGGCGCGGTGGCTCAAGCCTGTAATCCCAGCACTTTGGGAGGCCGAGGCGGGTGGATCACGAGGTCAAGAGATCGAGACCATCCTGGTCAACATGGTGAAACCCCGTCTCTACTAAAAATACAAAAAATTAGCTGGGCATGGTGGCGCATGCCTGTAATCTCAGCTACTCAGGAGGCTGAGGCAGGAGAATTGCCTGAACCCAGGAGACGGAGGTTGCGGTGAGCCGAGATCGCGCCATTGCACTCCAGCCTAGGTAACAACAGTGAAACTCCGTCTCAAAAAAAAAAAAAAAAAAAAAAAAGAGAGTTTACCAAGGTTGCTGAACTTTTTCAAAATTCATATTCACAACATTTTCCATCAAAATTATAAAAGTACAATTTTTAAAAGACACTTATTACAGAAGCAAAGACATGCAAAACATACCTGAATGGAAACATTAGAAACTTTATTCATTAAGGATAAGCAGTTGAAATATATGCCATGTCCATATATATGCGAACTCAGTATCATAAAGATATCATTCCTTCCTAAATTATTACATAAATTCAGCACAAAGCAAATCAATATTCAAACTGTGCTCAGTGGAACTTGACTAGTTGATTTTAAATTTATATGGAATAGTGAAAGAGTGATGAATCTAAGACATTTTTTAAACAAATGAAGGAGCTGCAGAAACTTGCCCTATATAATTTATTATAAATTTATAAGAGCTAAGACAAAATAGTATTGGCACAACTGTAGACAGACCAACAAAACAGAATTGAGGACTGAGCAACAAACATGTATGTTGGCTGCTTGATATGACAGAAACTGCACTACAAATCAGTGAAGAATAAAGGAGCTACTTGATAAATAGTACTGTGATATTTGGATAGCTAAATGGGAAAATAAAATAAAATTGGGTTTCTACTTTAGATGTTGAACAAAAAATCAATTCCAGTAAGCAAACTTTCACACTTTTAAAAGAAAATTTAGAATCATTCAAGCTTGTTAATGCAGCTCATAAGCTACTCCAACTCTTCTTTGTTTTTAGTGTTCCGTCAGCTCTCCAAATGAGGTAAGATACAAGCCGGTCCCTTGGGCCACCCTCCAAAGAGCCAAAACACAGGATGCATGCTCCAATCTTTTCTTTCTCCCAAGGAAGTAGTCACAAGCCAGGGCATTCTCTCCTAGCTCTGAGCTGTGTCCACTTTGGGGAAGGGCTGACACGAGTCCTATGGTTTGAAGTTTGTGTTCTCCCACAATTCTTATGTTTAAACTTAGTCCCCAGGGTGATGGCACTAAAAGGTGAGGACTTGGGAGTAATTAGGTAATGAGAGTTCTGCCCTTATGACTGGGGTTGGTGCCCTTATAAGAAAAAGCTGGAGAGAGCCTATTTGCCCCATCTACCATAAGAGGACACATAGAAGGCACCATATCTATAAAGCAGAGAGAAGTTTTCACTCTATGCCAAATCTGTACTGTCTTGACCTTGGACTTCTCAGCCTTCAGAACTGTAAGCAATGAGTTTCTGATGTTTATAAATTACTCAGTTTAAGGTATTTTGTTATAGCAGCCTGAATGGACTAAGACATTGTGTAAAGTGAAACTGTACTTCTTACACATTTCAATGTAGCTGTTTTGGCTTTAAGGTAACCTGGGGTACTGCAACTTTTATTTATTTTTATTTATTTATTTATTTATTTATTTATTTATTTTTTGCGATGGAGTTTTGCTCTTGTTACCCAGGCTGGAGTGCAATGGCGCGATCTTGGCTCACCGCAACCCCCGCCTCCTGGGTTCAGGCAATTCTCCTGCTTCAGCCTCCTGTGTAGCTGGGATTACAGGCACGCGCCACCGTGCCCAGCTAATTTTTTGTATTTTTAGTAGAGACGGGGTTTCACCATGTTGACCAGGATGGTCTCGATCTCTTGACCTCGTGATCCACCCACCTCGGCCTCCCAAAGTGCTGGGATTACAGGCGTGAGCCACCGCGCCCGGCCCAACTTTTAAAATTGATTCTGGAATTCCCATAAAGATATGTTGATCCATATACAATTGTTAATCAGTGTTTCTGTAGGGGAACAGGGCTAATACTTTCTATTCTGCCAACTTTCTGATGTCACTCCTAACCCAGAATTTTAAATCCAGTGGAATTGTTCTTCAAAAATAAGAGTGAAATAAAGTTGTTTTCTATTAAATTAAAGCTGAAAGTACTTCTCCATCAGACTTGCATCTGCACTGCAAACCAACCAACCTAACCAAAACCAAAACTAAACCCTAAAGAAAAATGAAAAACTTCAGGCTGAAGGGAAGTGACAGCTGGAAACTCAAATCTACAGGAAGACATGAAGAGCATCAGAATGGTGAATATGTATGTAAATATAAAAGCCTTGCCTTTTAGTTAATTTTCTTAAAAAACAAGTGATCATTTAAAGCAAAAATATTTTAAGCTGGCAGTTATAATGTGCAGGTAAGTAAAATATATAAGAATAGCACAACAAAAGATGTGTATATTAGTTCGTTATCATGCTGCTATGAAGAAATACCCAAGGCTCGATAATTTATAAATAAAGGGGGTTTAATTGACTCACAGTTCTGCATGGCTGGGGAAACCTCAGGAAACTTACAATCATGGCAGAAGGAGAAGTAACATATCCTTCTTCACATGGCAACGGCAGAGAGAAGAATAAGAACCAAGCAAAGGGGGAAGCCTCTTATAAAACTATCAGATTTCATGAGACCTTACTATCATGAAAATAGCCTGGGGAAAACTGCCCCCATAATTCAATTACCTCCCATAGGGTGGCTCCCACCATATGTAGGGATTGTGGGAACTACAGTTTGAGATGTGGGTAGGGACACAGCCAAACCATATCATTCTTCCCCAGGCTCCTGCCAAATCTCATGTCCTCACATTCCACAACAAAATCATGCCTTTCCAACAGTTCCTATAAGTCTCAAGTCAACGCAGCATTAACCCAAAAGTCCAAGTCCAAAATCTCATCCGAGAGAATGCAAGTCCCTTCTGCCTATGAGCCTGCAAAGTCAAAAGCAAGTTCGTTATGTCCTAGATACTATGGGGGTACAAGCATTGAGTACACAAACCCATTCCAAATGGGAGAAATTGGCCAAAACATAAGGGCTAAGGGCCCCATGAGAGTCCGAAATCCAATAGGGCAGTCATTAAAACTTAAAGTTCCAAAATGATCTCCTTTGACTCCATGTCTCACATTCAGGTCATGCTGATGCAAGACCTGGGCTCCCATGGCCTTGGGCGGTTCCACCCTTGCGGCTTTGCAGGGTACAGCCCCTCCCAGCTGCTTTCATGGGCTGGCATTGAGTGTCTGCAGTTTTTCCAAGTGCAGGGTGCAAGCTGTCAGTGGATCCTACCATTCTGGGGCTGGAGGTTGGTGGCCCTCTTCTCACAGCTCCACTAGGCAGTGTCCCAGTGGGGACTCTGGGTGGGGACTCCAACCCCACATTTCCCTTCTGCACTCTCCTAGCAGAGGTTCTCCATGAGGGCTCTACCCCTGCAACAGACTTCTGTCTGAACATCCAGGCATTTCCATACACCGTCTGAAATCTAGGTTGAGGTTCCCAAACCTCAATTCTTGTCTTCTGTGCACTCGAAGGCCCAACACTACATGGAAGCTGCCAAGGTCTGGGGCTTCCACTTTCTGAAGCAATGGACTGAGCTGTACCTTGACCCATTTTAGCCATGGCTAGAGTGGCTGGGATGCAGGGCAACAAGTCTTGAGGCTGCATACAGCAGGGGAAGCCTGAACCCAGTCCAGGAAATCACCTTCCTCTCCTAGGCCTGAGACAGGCTGCTGTGAAGGTCTCTGACATGCCCTGGAGGCATTCCCCCATTGTCTTGGTGATTAGCATTTGGATCCTCATTACTTATGCAAATTTCTGCATAAGTAATTTCTCCAGCTTGAATTTCTCCCTAGAAAATGGGGGTTTCTTTTTTTATCATATATCAGGCTGCACATTTTCCAAACTTTTACGCTCTGCTTCCTTTGGAACACTGCTGCTTAGAAATTTCTTCCACCAGATACCCTACATCATCTCCCTCAAGTTCAAAGTTCCACAGATATCAAGGGCAGGGCAAAATGCCACCAGCCTCTTTGCATAGAAAGAGTGACCTTTACTCTAGTTCCTAAAGAGTTCCTCATCTCCATCTGAGACCTTCTCACCCTGGCCTTCATCCTCCATATCACTATCAGCAATTGGTCAAAGCCATTAAACAAGTCTCTAGGAAGTTCCAAACTTTCCCACATTTTCCTGTCTTCTTCTGAGCCAGCCAAACTGTTCCAACCTCTACCTGTTATCCAGTTCCAAAGTCACTTCCATATCTTCACAGCAGCACCCCACTATTTCCAGTGCCAATTTACTTAGTTTTTTCTCATGCTGCTATAAAGAAATACCCAAAAGTGGGTAATTTATAAAAAAAAAAGAGGTTTAATTGACTCAATTCTGCATGGTGGGGGAGGTCTCAGGAAACTTACAATGATGGCGGAAGGGGAAGCAACATGTTCTTCACGTAACGGCAGGAGACAGAAGAAGAGAACAGAGTGAAGGGGGAAGCCCCTTATAAAACCTCAGATTTTGTGAGACCTTAGTATCATGAGAATAGTATGGGGAAAACTGCCCCGATGATTCAATTACCTCCCACTTGGGACCCTCCCACCACATGTGGGGATTATGGGAACTACAATTAAAGATGAGATTTGGTTGGGGACACAGCCAAATCATATCAATGGGCAAGAGCAAAGAAATAATAGTGTTGTAAGTTTATGTCTATATTTGAAATGTAAAGTGTTAAATATGAAATTAAGACCAGAATGTCAAGTGACACAATATTATTTCAAATTAGGCTGTGATAAATTAAAGATGGGTATTGTAATTAATTACTGTAATGGTCATCAGATTCCAATATATTTCAACTGCAGCACTTACTTATTCAGAAGTGGGTTTACTGTTAGGTCTGTAAAGCATAAGTGATTCT